CAGGTGGTGCTACAAACCAGCCTACACCTCCAGAAAGCCGCTCCATACATTTCCTGCAGCACTTAGCAGGACATGCCTGCTAGGTCAAAATCTGATCCCCTACGTAGTGTGTCCAGGACACAGCCCCCTCTCCTACAACACCCCAGAAGTGGAAAGCAGTGAGATGAGACTGAAGCCTTGGGGGAAGCCTGTGTGCACGACTTGGTTACAACAGCATGTCCTGAGGACATTGCACAGGGCCAGCTGGAGACACTTGTTAATGAGAATCCCGGTACGCAGAGAATGAGAAATGTGACCTTTGGAAATTCAAATCAGCCTTGGCACACGTGTCTTCCAAATGACTGCTGTGACTCCCGTCAGGGCTCATGTGGATGTGGGTATGTCTCAATGGCAGGCTCGCCGCTTGTTTTCCATGTGCTGTGACCCAGCCTCCTCCCTGCCACAGCAGCACCAGCCCTCTGCTCCACGTGTCCCTGAGCGTGTTGGGCCATGCCCACACACTGAGCTGGGCTCTGCCACTCCGGGAGCTCTGGCTCCGCACCCTCAACCTGCCCAGCCGGCCGGCAACGTGAGAGCGAGCGCTGTGCCTGTGCCCAGGTGCGTGCACAGCTCTTCTGCACTTCCTAGCAACTAAACTGCAGCCTCCCTGCCAATCTACTCCTCCCTGTGCATCAGCTTGCTTATTCAAATACACCTCACTGGCGTCCAACTCTCTCTTTTCACCCAGACGGCTCCAGCTCTTCCCTTATTGCCCTTTTGCTTTCCCCTTGCCTCACTGAGATACATTTCAGCTCTTGCTCACTCCTGGTATCAAGCCCACTGTAAAGGCTGTGATTTATGTGGAAAGAAGGGAGATGAGAAGGAAAAATACACTTAAACACCTCCTGTAGGACTTACGGCAAAAAGGTTATCAGAGCATTTGGGGAAAAGGATTTTCTACCAGGTAACTGGTCTCTTAAAATCCCGCCTCTCTTAGGAAAGGCTTTAACTGAGTGATCCCTTTCTTGCTAAGAAGGGAGTTCATGAGCCTACAAAATATCCTTGCAAGCTGTGGAGAAGAAAAATTTCAAAAATCCCTCAAAATATAGTGTAGAACCTCAAACCCAGCATCAGGTTTCATAGCTTAGACTTGTGAGCATCTGAGTCAATTATCCAATAGTCTGATCTGAGGAAAACCCAGGAAGAGGGGGGCACAGGGTATTTAATTTTATCATGGGAGAAGCTACTACGGAAGTTCTGGCCTGCGGAGAATGTCTCCATGCAAGGTTTAAGTTTGATTGAGAGTCAAAATCTTACCACTTTCTTTAGTTTCTCCTTTTATTTTCTCCTCTACATAAATCCACATTTTTGTATTTCCAGGGAAGTAGGTAGAAAATCAAACAAGTTAAGAAAAGTTACATTATCTCATTGATGGTAACTTGGAATAAATCGGTAATAAAACAAGCAAGACAGTGTGTTACAACTACAGAGTTTTTCTTCAAGAAGTGAAAACTCCAAAAGGAGGAGATGGATATAGCAGGAAAACTACAGCTTGTGGCACAGCTACATGAGAGAAAAAGGATTCTGAACCACAGATGCTGAAAACATCAAACATACTACCAAAAAATCAGAAGAAAAAGAAGGGAAATAAAAAAAAGATAACCCCTATGGAAAAAAAATAAAAAGAAAAAAAGAGTACCTGAGCTGTCAGGGAATACAAAATAACAGACCTATTTTAGGGCCACAGCTGAATCTCTCTGGAAATAAGATGTGGCCATTGCAATGACTGAAAACCATACTGGGCTTTAGTGCTGGCAGCACAACTCATCTAGAATGGGGAAATGCAAATGGAGCATCAGACATGGTTCATACCATGCTGTGGCTGTCCTACCTTGACCACACTATCTCTCTATGCTACAAGACAAATGTTTTTTAAAAAAAGGAATATTAGTAGTCAAACCCTGGGTCATGCAAAGAGCATGTCTTTCTGGAGAAGCAATACATAAGTTATTATGTAACTTAACATTGTTTAATATATTACTAAACATTGTTTTTCATGACTTTTCTCAGCACTCTCTTGCTTGATTCCAGTGGAGAGATCAGCAGCTGCAATGGTTTTTCTTGTAGCAGGTAGATTTAGGAACTCCAGAAGGGGACTGCTGATTATCAATATTTGCAAGGGTTGTAATTTCAGTGTAAGATTTTTTATTATTAATATTTTGTAACTTTACGCACTAGCTTCATATTACTTCTGAATCACCACCAAAAGTGACAACTTTAATTAGGTTTTTAAATATAGACAAGACAGAGGGAGTTATGTGGAAGCCAAGCACATTGTATTTCTCCCTATCAGCCTCTAGGCAATCACTTGGATTGAAACTATGCCAGCAAATGTGTACATACCTCAGTTTTACCCTCAGTGAACTGGACTTGTGCATGTAGTTACTGATAGGGTGAAACCACTACGGAGAACAAAATGATCTCCTGAGTGAAGCTGGTATTTCCTCTGACTGTAAAACACGACCATTTGACAGGGCATATGTGCTGGAGTTTATATAAGTGAAGCCTGTGAAAGCCAAGAGAACCTTTCTGGATGATGCAGAAAAATCTCAGGAAGTCAGTAACAAAATAAAGAGATGCCACCAGTGTCACCCCAGAATTATACACAGCTCTTAAGCTTCTCCCTCCTGGCAGCTGTGTGAACATTGAAAGGTCCTATTTTCGGACCACAGATGAGTCCCTCTGGAAAATGAGAGGAACAGAACAAAGAGTCAGTGGGTTTTGCAAGTGGACACAGGACTCACAAGGAGGGGAAATTACCAATGAAAATTGTGGAAAAAAACTGCTCCTGCAGTCACAGCACAAAGCTTAAGCTGTTGGACCGGCATCAAAATCCATTGGCATAGAAGTGGCACAGAAATGACCAAATCAGTCCTAATTTGATATCTGTGCTTCCTGATTCTGCAGGAAAAGAACCCAAAGTCATTATTTTCCAGGTGCACATTTTGGGATGGTATTGCAATATAACCTTTAAACACACTGAAACAAACTAAACATATTGTGGAGGAAAAAATCAACAAATTTCTCAAATATTTCTTTTGTCCATATGGTTTAAAGAGTGAAGAAGAACACCATGTTATTCTTCAGAGCCAACACAGCCCACTCTTTTCATGTTTATTCTTATTTTACACACTTTTTCTTCTGCTTCTAAAAGGGAAAATATCTCAAATCTACTGAGTACTTCTAACACTCTTGAGAACTGAACCTTATTATCACAATAATGGGATAAAGTAGGTGGATGCAGAGGCAGCACCTTGAGAGTCCTTTATCCAGCTGAACTTGTTAGATGAGTGATGGAGTGTATTTCTATTTTAAATAATAATTTATGTGCATTAGGCAGCAGGTCCACTTAGACTGTTGAGTTTACTCAGGGTTAAGCTGGGAGTCTTGCTTTGTGCATTGGACTCTTTTTTTCTTTAAACAATCCTATTGAAAGTTGACATTGGCACTTGGAAGCATTCTGAACAGCTGCTAGGAGTATGCTGATGGTAGATCACACACATCACTGAGGTGCCATTCAGCTCTCAGAACTGTAAACCAATCTCCTTCAATCGTCTTCTTTGAGGAGTGTCTGAACTGCTGAGGGCTTAACATATTTTCTCCTAGAGATGCAAAATCATTACTATCCCTAAATTTTGCAACATCATTGGTTGCTGAAAAGGGAGTTTCACCTTCTGAGTTATCTGTGGGTAAGTGGTGCACTTTCAAGGGTAACTTTTATGAATTACCAGTATCTACCAACAACAAAAATAAGGTCTGTGATAGTCTAAAAAACATTCCTTCCAATAGTTTAAGTGCATTAAGGAAAGTGTGCGCTTGTCTCACTAAGACATGAATTCCAGCTCTACATTTTTTCAAAGCAAGCATTTATTCCTTCTAATTATTTTCATATTGGGCAAAAAATTCAGTATATTTTATTTTTCCAGAGGAAAAAGACATTGACAATTGCAATGAAGTATTATCTAAAGTGACAATTCATTATTGCATCTCCTAAAATACAACCATTTGGCTCAAAACAATTAACAAAAGAGAATGGACACCAAAATGCTTTGGTAACTCAAGGTACCATGACTGCATGCAAGTCCTTTCCTGAGACACACAAACTTGTATCACAAGAAGCCTTTTTTCCCTGTACCCACTTTATCTTTTCTGATATTGAATTACTGACAGAGGTGCAACTTACTGCATAAAATATTCAAAGATATGCAAACATGTTTGCAGGGAGCAGCCACAAATCTATAGCAGCTGCCTAAAAAGCAATTTACTGTGAACACAAACGTGTTCTCTACATCTGTTACATGCAGTTGGCTGCATCCCTAAAACAGTTATTCTGCTATTCCAGAAAATTCTGAAATATGGTCTGTAGAAGCCTGTGGAACAAAATGTTCTGTCAAGAACGCTGCTGATACTGTCAGTATTCTTCAAGGCAAAGGGCTACAAAGTGCTGGGAATTATAGCTTGCAATTGCAAATAGCAGGCTTCCTCCCTTCCTTTTTATTTTCATTTGAAAAATGTTTTACTTACAAGCCCAAAAGAACCTGTTTAGACATCTGCTGCCTCTTCACCTCTTACCCAGCACGGGACATGATGTTCAGTCTTGCCTAACCCAAATCCTGCTTCCTCTTGCATGATCACCCCAGCTGATCCGGTCACTTTCCCTGGAGGCTCCAGGCTTGAATCTGAAGGCATCTCACAGGAGGACAAACACAGGGATGGGAAGAGTGTGCTTCAAAAGATAGTGCCTGTCATACAGAAAAATGACAGGATGGTTTGGCACTCCCCAGGTGTCCAAACCCAGTAATGTGAAGAGCATTCCCTCATTTGCTGATGCAGTCATTATGGGGTTCTCCTCAGACTTGTACTAGAAACCTGTGGTAATTAGTTACAAGCCATCTTCACCCTGCAGTATGTGGCACAGATTCTGCAGCTACCAGCACCAGTGACATTACTTTTGACACATATTAGGGTTACAAAGTTTATTGGTGTTGATGCAAATTTTGATTTTGACATATGCCACATATTTTTCACATTTGCTTAAGAAAGCAGAAAAGTGCAAGCAGTCATTCTAGTACTTAACTTTGCTAAAAACCTCAAGAAATATCAGAAAATATTCTGCTGTAAAAGAAGATTGTTTTCTGTCAGGGAAGAAAGAGGAAGAAAACTATTCTCTTCTGATTCTTGTGTACAAATCACTTCAGTTTTATTAGCAAACATAACAATGTAAGAAATTAATATAAAAAAGTTAAAGATGCCATATTTTCTTTGCCACAAATTGCTACATACTCTCCAGTGACTCTGGGTGCTCTGATTATTCACTTAGTCTCTTAGGATACACTTTCAGCTAAAAGATATTAAATAACCTTTTAAATCAGCTATTAAACCACCTTTTCCCCTAAAGCACAATACAATAAATGGATAAGAATAAAGAATAAATAGAAAAGCTAGTAACAAATAACAAAACTAGATTTCCTTTCTAAAATTATTTTTGTGACTTATCAGTCCAGTCGATTTGGCAGGAGAATCCAGCTTGGATTTACATGTATCTGTTTCGAATGTACTCTCTGTACATGAGGAAGTCTTCTCTTCCCAGGGGCTGCATGTTTCCTCTTCCAGCCTGAATGTGTGCATGGAAAATCTCTATCGATTTCCTATCAGCTCTTGGAGGCTGGACTTCGTAAATATTGTCTTGAGAAAAGGAGGAGATGGGTATTCTGGAAAAAAACAAACATGCAAAATATTTGGAGCTTTAGGTAAAAATTTTCCACAGAGAGAGAGGAGTATTTATTTTCCTTGAAATTTACAGAAGAGTCAATGAGAGGGCAAGTTCCCAGTAGATAATTCATTTACCTCGATTTTTATCACTATTGCAGACCTGGTAAGACCCAGCTTTCCAAGTAGGGTAATTAGGTAAGTTGTCATTAATCCCATTACAGAATACCTTCTCACTTCCCTTTGCCCTGCCCTCATTTCTTCATCCTTCCTCAGATCTGCTACGGTCAGTAAGTACCCCAGCTAAAGTAGATCTGTGCCATGCATTATAGCAGATAAAAGAAAGACTTCATTGAGCTTCCACTTAGTAGCAATTATAACAAGTCATTATACTCTGAGCCAACACAGACAAAGGATTAATTAGGAAAGAAATTTCCATCTAATTATCAGGAAGCAGACGATTTATTATAAGCAACAGCACTCAGATATTTTATAAAAATATTTTTAAAATCTACTTTGTCCAACAAATAACATATTTGAGTCCTAATAGACATATTTTTGGGCCCAAAGCTTCTCAGGTAAGAAAGTAAAGTGGCAACTTACTGTCAAAGCTCACTATTTCATAAAGCAAACACCAACCAGCCCAAATGCAATGAAGATTCAGATATTAGCATCACTGCCATATTCTACAGAAGCCAGAGTCATGACTCACTACCTGTGTGCTTTTCAGGAGACAAGAAAGTTATTTTTATGCATAGAATCTCGTCTTTTGAAGGTGAAAAAACAAGAACTAGAACACTTGAGCAAAGGGAAAGCCCGTCTATGAATAAAATGCCCTAATAAACTCCTACTTGCATTATGGGCACAAACTAATGTTTAACACTGTTTCTAAATGAGGATCTCCATTAAAATCATGAAAAAACTCCAGCTCCCTCATTTTTCAGCCTTTTATTTTAGTCAAATATATTGTATTTTGGATGTTTCATCATGTGACAGTTCATTAGTCTTAAAAAATTATTGCAGCGTGTCATGTAGGATACACAGTACAACTGGAACACAGTACATAAAGCAAAAATGTTTCCAGATTAAAGTAATACTTTTCAATTTTATATTTCAACTTTGCATAGCCATACATTAATTTGATTACTCTTTGATTGCAATGACAGAATTACTTATAAAAGTATGCTATTGAACTTGAGACAATAAAATCACTGGTCCCCCACAGAGTTTGGCCACATACTCTAAAACATAATTTTTTTTCCTCAACAATGTGATAGTTTCTTCTCATTATCCCTTCTAATTTGTTTATTCAGAACTGGTAAATAACCTTAGTCTAGATGCTTTAAAAGTAGATTGTTTTTCAAAGCATCCATAGTTTCTGCAGTACTTATTTAACCAGTGTAAAGCATCCAAGCTGAGACTCTAGCAATGGCATTTGACACTAGCACACTGTACTAACTTATCAATGTCACTATCTAACAACAAAGGTGTCACTTAATCAAATATAACTGGTCTGTCTGGTCCACTAGCAAGTGGGCAATTAAGTAAAGAGCAAAACAGAGCCATTACACTAAATTGATGCCTTCTCTATTTATTGATTGGTTTCTAAAGATATGACATTTCTGAAGCACTAATGACTCAAAAATCCTTTCCTTAGGTACAATGGAAGCTGGGCAGCAAAGTGCATTTAATTTTGAGCATTTAATAACCAAATCTCAATTTTCCTCCTACTTGCATCAACGTGATAAAAATATATTGAAAGAACCACATGTTCATGAGTGCCAACTTTGATTAATAACCCTGTATTAAGCTGTAACTATTTGTAGAGTGCTTGCATTATCCAGTCATTTAATTAAAAGTTATTTCTCTAACATATTCATGTAAAAATCTATTTTACTTAATAAGTTTAATATCTTACAATAGTCATGAAGGAGAGCACGTTATTTATGACTTGGCTATCAGGTTTCCCTAGAGACCTGTAGCTTTATGGCCTCCCAGTGAAAATTATGTAGACAGGAACATAAGCTTTATGTCATGAAGGACAGCACCCTTGACACACAATTTTCAATTATTTTCATCCCACTTATGAGCAGGCTTCCTGGTGTTATGGTTTCACCAAGAATATCATTGTCTCTACATTAAAAGATATGGTTAAAACCTTCCATTATAATGAGGATGTTCCATACTTCCAAGGAAAAGTTCATGGTGATGTAGATTAGCTCTCAGACATATAGCAGTCACCAGAAAGCCACTGCATTTGTTTCAACACTGCATTTGTTCTCCTCAAGTCTCTGAAGCATATCTAAAAAGTAAACAAGATCTACTTTTTCACCTTGTTTGAATCCTAAGCAAACACCCATGAAGATGATCAGGGGGCTAGAGTACCTCTCCCATGAAGACAGGCTGAGAGAGTTGGGGTTGCTCAGTATAGAGACGAGGAGGCTCCAGGGAGACCTTGTATCACCTTCCAGTGCCTAGAGGGGGCTGCAAGAGAGCTGCAGAGGGACTTTTTAAAGGGCATGAAGTAGTGGGCCAAGGGGCTTTAAACTGAAAGAAGGTCTAACTTAGGCAGTAGGTGGAAATCCTTCACTGTGAGGGCAGAGAGGCACTGGAACAAGTCACCCAGAGAAGTCGTGTTTGTCCCATCCCTGGCAGTGTTCAAGGCCAAGCTGGATGGGGCTTTGAGCAACCTGGTCTAGTGGAAATTGTCCCTGCCCATGGCAGGGGGTTGGAGAACTGGATGGTCATTAAGAGTCCATAGCATTCTGTGACCTGACCTGAAGCACAGGCACTGAAGACCACTTGGACCCTGATGTATGCACCAACCACTCTTTGGTAGGACGATGTTTAAGCATGCCCACACTCTTCTTTTGTGCTACAGGGAATCAAAACATTCAGTTCCCTTTTCAGAAGGAAATAGTTTCTTGTACTCCTAGATAAACGTATGAAGTACCTTTAAAAAGGTTTTGAGAGTGTATTTTTACAACAGTATTATTTATATCATACCAGAATGAATACTAGGGAATTAGGAACAGGTGCACTGTGTCGGCCAACAGTAATTACACTACAGTACTTAAGAGTCTGTCTTCATATACATTATAATAGATTGTGCTAAAGGTAGTCCAGTTCTGTTTAGCTTTATTTAGCCCTAAGTATAATTCCACCATTTTTTCTTTCATGGAATTTCTAAGAACAAAAAGAAGAATTTCAATATCCTTCCACATCCTCCACTCAACTTCAGTATTATTTCACTGCATCACTTTGGTCCCTGTTCAAGTCCCCATTTTTTATTTCTAGTCTATAATTAACAGTTTAAAAATTCAAGACAGAATTCAAGACTGAACCTTCTCTTCAGTATTTATACAATTCATATTTGAATTCAGAAATATCACTGCAGCGACATAAAAATAAGAAATATTTCTTCATTTGTAATGGCTTCTTGTATTTAATTAAAATGGTTAAGTGTTTAAAATTGTGAAATGTGAGGTTATTAAAAAAGATTTTCTTGAGAAGTGTGGAAAAGACAACTAACCTAAACTTAAACTTATATCTCACTGCTGATATGAACCCAAAGTTTTAGACTGAGTACCTAATTTTACTATGAAAAGAACTAGGGTTTGATTGCATTTGTATCATATATGAACCATCACTTGGGAATTAAATTTGTCAGATTTTTTTTTCAATTTAAAAGGCATCTAACATCAAATTAATAAAAGTTAGTATAATTTTTTAATTTCTTCAAGAACTCCTTCAGAAACAAGTGCAAGCTGTGCCTCAGCTGCTCTTACTGAAAACCCTCCCTCTCTCCCTAATTTTGAGTACACTTATGTTCATTCTATTATATTTCTCAAAAGTTAATATTCTCCAAGGAAATTCCTGATTCAGAGCAGCAATTCAAAGTCAGTAAGAGAAAGCTTCCTTGTTTCAGAGTTGAACAACATGCCTTTTAAGAATGGCTACATTTGTGACTTTAACTAAAAGAACAATCTGTCACCATCCTAACAGTACTTAAACATTTTAAAAAAGTTACAGAACAAAACCCAAAGAAAAATTTTAAGCAGTCTAGGGATATACTGTACTAAAAAAGAAATCACTAACTCTAAGATATTCTATTTCCTCTCTCATCTGCACAGAGGAACATGTTTGGAAGAATTGGCAAGGAGAGATGATTGACATGACTTCGAAAGAAGAAGTGACAGGAGGCACGGATTTGTGTGCCCTATGACTTTTACACTTCTACTGTTCAGAAACACATGTAAATTACACTTGGGAAAAGAGAAAAATTAACATGTGACTATCCCAAGGCCACCAGAATTCTGTGTAGAGACTCTGTTTATTGTGTTCATTTTACAGCAGCTGAGCATTGGGAAAAAATTTACATTTAAAGGGGTAAGAAAGGAATGATTATCTCCTAGACTGTCTTACATGCTGGGAGATTTTGCAATTACAAAAAATAAATTGCCTTCATTCATAGCAAAATTATTCTTCTTCTTACAAAATATTTTCTTAATAAACATGCCCATTTAAAACACTCAGGCTTGCTCCCTCATATTGAAAAACAGTTTTACAGTTTGCCAATCTAATTTACTACTTTAATACACATTATACATGTTTTATTATAAAACTACAGGCTCATTTACCTACAAATGTGGTATCAGCACTTAAATGTAGGTAATACCAAGTGACTAAACACTGCTATTAGACAGTATTGTCTCTTACACAGCATCACATCTGCTTCATGTCATTCTTTCCCAGCCCAGCTGAAACTCACCTAGTCTCTCTCCCTGCTTAAGTATAAATGCTGTGTTTAAGGTTTCCTCACATCACCAGCACAGAAGGGTGGACAAGAGGCAGTGGAGGAAACAAAGTTGAGACTTCTGTAAATCAACAGATTCAGAAAAGCTTTTGCAGTTCTAAGAAGTGGCCATGCTGCTGGATAAAGGATCATGTACTAGGGACAGAAGTAAATAAAATTCTGCCTTGCCTTGGTGAAACTTTAAGCTGCCTACACTACAGGAAGATGTCAACTGGGAAGGTAGTACTTGATCATCTAAATTTTAAGACCTGGTTCAATATTAGTATCACATTTGGATAACACCATGATCCTTTTTATACACTAGTACTAAGAAGATTCAAATGCAACTTTGAATGTTTTCTAGTGGAGAGTAAGCACGAAGAAATTGCCCTCTAAAACTCAGTAGATTCAGCATTTTCTGTTAATTCAGGATTGCTAAGTCTTTTAAAAGAAACCCCTTGATACTACAAAAACTAAAAAAGAAAACAAAAAACAAGACTCCCCAAAATAACACAAAAACCAAACTCCCAAAAAACACAAACCCTTAAAAAACCAAAAATGCAGTTCTTCATGCTATGCATTGAAACTCCCTACGCAGTGAAGAAAATGGAAGTGTGACTCTAAAGCAATTTAACATCAAATTTACCTGATCACTTTTCATATCTAATGACAAAAGCAAAATCAGTCTAAAGGGAAAAAGAAAAGGAATACTTACAAATTTATGACCTTATCCAAGGGGCATTTTGAATAAAATTGCTGGCTGCCCTTGTCTTGTTTATGCTGACTCTGTCCCAGCTGAACAAACCTGTGAAAAGCAGCAGATTGAAGAATAAATGAAAGAAATAAAAGAACTATCCCCCAAAAGTCATCAAACAAAAAAATTACACTAAGAAATTATATTTTTAGTCCTACTATGTAAGTCACCGATCATGATGTACTTCTCTGGTGAACAAGACATTTTTAAAAGTTCATAGAGGGTGTACGCATGAACTCAGAACCTCCTTTGAAATGAAATTTGCTTATCAATTGGTGTCACCCGGTATGTCATGGCAAGAAACCGTCCTCCCCTAAGAAACAGGCAGCCCTCTGCACTCAATTTCCTACGTCTTTCTCAAAGCAATCAGTCAGAGGAACAGCCTATGGAAAAATCAGCAAAAGACACAAAGTTTCTCAAGTTTCAGATTTAAGTCAGTCCTTTGCTGAATTCAATCTAGTTCATTCATCTGAAATGCTGTTAGCTCAGATCCCTTATTTACAACCACAACCTTTTGGGACAATTTCTCCATCTCCAAATATTTGCTGGAAGACACTGCCAATGGAAAATACTGTCTTTTTTTTTTTTTTTCCTTGGCAATGAAGTGGAACAAAATCTTCTGAAAAGCAGTTTATCACTAATCTTAATCACTCAGGATAGGAGGAAAAGTCAGACATTTTCAAATGTAAATATATGTAGCTATCTTGCACTCAATTTGTTCACTCTCCACCACAGCTGTGCCACTGAAAAGACAAGTAAATGTCAGTTTTGATTTACTAGTTTAATTTCTGAGGCAGAGAGTTTTTCTTAACAGTGAGCTTCCATTTAGCTTAAGAAGTCTTACTGGTCTACTTCAGTAATATCTACTACATTTTAACAAGCAACTATTACCAGTGCAAAACCAATTGCATGAAAGAGTACAGAAGTCAAATGAACAACATGTACCTAAGCAACTTACTGCAGCTTTTCTTTCTGCTCCATTCAGATTCTATACTGTACAAACAAATGACTCAGGGACAAGCAACATCAGTTTGACTTTTAAAGGAATAAATGCTTGCATTACTAAATAAGAGAATTTTAAGTGGAAATCAAGATAATTAACATCTTCTACTGCAGGAGCCTGCTATTGAAACTAACTCTTAAAAAAAACAAAGGCAAACCAATTGCATATGTATTTTCATTAATTGCTTCAAATTATTCAATATTTTGAAAGTTACAAGACCTAAATGCACAGAAGCAAGTTTGCTGAGGTCAGGAAGATACCACACACAGTTGATCTGCAGCATACAACCTCAAATTACTACAGGGACTTCGTGTCCCTTCCAAATTCAACCAATCTGGGCTTCTGTGATTTCTGTTTTGAAGAGAATTATCCCAGCCATAAGTGAAAACAGGCTGAATAGATCCAAATTACTTTTAATTTGCATTTGCAAATAGGCTTAATACAGATCAGTTGACGTAAAGCAACTTAACCTGAAGTACTGTGAATCTGTGAGATCCTGATCCTCATCATGAAAAACATGTAACATGTCCAGTGATGTCACGTGAAGTCAGGATCTCACATCCCCCCACTTCCCTTATTACAGTAGCAGAAAAGGCTTGATGTGAGAACTGTCATCATACTGTGAAAGAAATTGTTGCTATTCTCAAGCGATGTACATTTTGCAAAGTATAGATTTAACTGACATCCTTTATTATATAAATCAGCACACCAGACCAGAAATAGCACCATGTCTTGTTAGCTGAAAAAGATAAAGAATTTGTAATTTTTTCTATTTTTAAAACCTGCATTGCTCAAAGGAAATGAAATAAATGCAAGGTTTGTTTTGTTTTTTTCTTAAAAAGGCTATAAATAGGGAGCTTCAAAGTCTCCAGGGGGTTTACAGTTTTACATTAACAATAGATTGAACATTAGTCCAGCCTGAAGAAATTATAAAATTGGAAGTAGCTGCAATTCTGGATGTTAATACAGAATTATTCATTTGCACAGAGAGACTCACAGTAGATACCAGCTCACACTGGGCCATTTTCTGAACCACAAAAACTACCTGCTGTATCAAAGGATAGTTGTCAAATTTGCATCCATCTTCTAGGGTTAAAATAAAAAAGAACCAAAGGTAGAGGCATAGATGAATGTAAAAATTTCAGATATAATGAGAAACATCCTCCTAACCCTATTCAAGTGTAGCATCTTCAAAGGACTCAGCTTGTAGGAAATAGGTAGAAGTGGGAATTTTAAAGAACAAAAGACTGCAAGAGAAATAGCTACATCTAAAGAAAAAGTAAGAGAAAAATAATTTTAAATATAAAGAAAAAATGCATTGAATGGATTAAGGAACTAAGTCATGATGAAACACCACGTATCACCAAAATAGATATCACATGAATTAAAATTTCCCTTAAAAATTGAAAAGCTTTCAAATATAACAAGGTAGCTACTACTATTCCACATTAGAAAATAAAACCAAATGCACATGAGGCCATTTCAATGCATGTCTCACGAGTATTCACTTCAATACATACACAGGGTTTTCCTGAGATGAAGTGTAGATTTCTTATATGGCATCACATTAAATAAAAGGACAACTTCTATTATTTTATATGCATATTTACAGAATAAGCTATTTCATTATGACTGATTTGAATTGGAGTAATTCAAAACTTGAAAAATGCAAAGCCTTTTTTTTTTTGCATTTTTTTTTAAATGCAAATCCCACAGATTATAAAGCTTACAACCATGGAACTATTCTTAGTTCCACTCTTGGTTCCATTGATAATTCTGTGGAATTTACTTATCAATGCAATATGGAATTCCTATCAATTTACTTATAAAGTTCTAGGATTATATTAAGTGACAGGTATTTCTTTTGAAGCATCTTTCATTTGATTTAAGCTCCAAATTTTGCTTTCTGAGACATCTGCATAGCTTTCACTGAAATCAGAACTGACACAGACAGCTGAAAACAGTTTGATTTTGAAAGAAATAGCATACATAGACAAATTTCTCCTTTAAGTAAGTTTAATCAAAGGCAGCACTCTGACAAACTGCACTTAACTAGCTCAAGTTATCCTTTACTGATTACCACTGGAAATTCATCTCACCTTGCATATATTGCAAGATCATCTTCTGAAGGGATATCTGAAAGATTGACTCCATACACATCTTTTGTTGCTTGCACTACATTCTGGAACATAAGAAAGATTCAGACTGAGAATACTGTAACAACATCCAAAGAAAGATTGCTCTTAAAAAAGAACTTCCTTACAAGCCAAACTATAGTTTCAGAAGTGCAGACAAAAACAAACAGATTTCTCATATCCACAGCAATCATAGCTTACACATGTTTTTAAAAGAAAATAATTTATTAAAAATATTAATCAACACATGTATTCAACAACAAAAGAATTCTTGAAAGACATCATCAGCTAAAACAACATATTAGGAGAATAAATTTTATTCATACAACATAATGGTGTAGTTATTAAATTCTGTTCTGTATTGAAACTTAATATAGAATAAGTCATATTTGTTCAGAACATGCTCCCACATTTGCTTTCACATTTCCTGCTGTCAATTCTGCAATAATTACAAACCTCAGGTTGAAAAGAACTATTTTTATTTTATACATTATGCAATCATGTCACTCAACTATAACAAGGAATCAGTGCACATGCAATAGTTCACTAACTGTTTCTAGTGATTCAGTGCTAAACTGAGGGGGGTTTTCTGACATGACATGTGAGTCAAATATAAAGACAATTTTCTCTTAGTTCAAAATGATTCAAAGAACTTCAGAAAGGTTCTAGTCCTGACCAGAAGAATAAATGCATTTTTTATTAACTTCTCAAAGATGTGAACAGAAAGGAACCAGTTTTTTGAGTTCCTCAGATAATAAGGAACGGAATGAATTAACAGTGCAAATTATGACTAAAATTCAATGCATTAGAAGATGCTAATCAGTTGGAATATATTTATTCATATCATTACTAAAAAGTCAGAATAGCTCGCCCAATTTTTAAGCCATTGAAATTCAATATTTCACATCATACTTTGTGTTTACATACACCTTTCATTTAAGCATCTTAAAAATCTAAAAAAACCCCTTAGGTCTCAGTGTTGAAGTGTGTTCAAAACAGAGAGAAAAACTGATGTGAGATAAATTATGCAATAGTAGGAATCAAGAATAAAATTTCAACTTGGATTTTTGTTTGTTTCTAGGTTTTTTAATCTCCTTTGCTGGAGAACATGTATTCTGTCATTCAGAGATAATGGAAAACTTTCAGATAAAATACCTTGTATAAACACAAATAAATAAATGTGCTTGTACTTGCTTAGGAAGAAGACACTATTGCACTATTGAAGGCTGAAAATCCATTACCTGAGAACACACAACCCTAGGGTAAAGACTGAATAGAATCAAAATTTGATTCGAGGAAAAAAAAAAAAAGCAGTGTAATTGTCTGTTGCCTATCAGACACTACATTTTATGCTAAGGTCATAAATACTTAATATTCTTTAGAAGTGATAACATGCACAATCCTATAACCATTTAAATTAGCTGCGGCTTTAAAAAAAACAACCCTGCCAGACAACATAAGTATTTTCCAAATTTCAATAGTATACATTAGCATAACCTTTTGCTATGATACTTTCAATGGTATCCAAAATGGATATCTACAAGAAGGAATTTGAAGAACTATTACATGAACTAATAAAATAGATACTTCTATAATTCTTTATACAACTCAGTATTTTCATTAAATTGGCACCCAAGGGATTCTAACAAAATGGGAGTTATGCTAGGAAAAAAAAGATTAATAGCCCACAACTGCAAATATACATTCTTTCCACCTGACTGGGCAAATTCAATTTATTTCACTATTTTATTCACTGCCATTATCTGCAACCTTAGTAGCAGTAATAGCATAGGACCCGTGTAGTAACATTATCATGCACATTTTTGAAGTTAGTTAATTTTTTTGTTTAAATGCCAGACCACATAATTATGGGACAGCAATTTAAAAGTGTTCACATAAATCAGGTTGAAATTTAGATAGAATGAACATTAATTTACAGTTAATCAACCTAAGCAAGAGGCATTGTCCAAAAGGAATTGCCTGGTATTTCCAAGAGGTGGTTCTCAGGACCTCAGGTTCATATTACATGTCTTTCAGGGGGTTTGCTCCAGGTTAACTCCCATGAACTAGATGTTGATTAAGCAGGTAGATCAAGTACATTCCTGGTGAAAAGGAATCTCATTTACATGCTCCAAGGCCACCTAATGATGTGTGCCAGAGCACAGTAAAGGACAACAATCAGACGTGCACTACTGCTCTGAATTAACACACTAATACAGGTGCATTTTAAATTATGTAATGACCCAAATACCTTCCAAATGCCATAGGTTTCTGACAGTAGTTTTCTTTTTTTTTTAATGTTATTTTCCTTTGTGTTTCACTATTACATGACAAGAAGAACAGAAAAGGTTAACAAACAGTTGCGCTGCAGTTATGCTAATATCTACACAAAAAATTACACTGGAGACCTTTGTCACTAAATTTCTCTGTGCTTTACTTCTGACTGTTTTATAATGCTTTTTTAAGGGAATGTGAATTTTAAGCTTTCTTGCCTAACACAGTAATTTCTTACCTCTGTGATTTTTGTATTGTCTCCTGTATCAGTCACTTTTACTGGAGTTGAACGTTGAGAAACAGCACCTTCATCTTCTTTATCTGTCCCAGAATCATCCTCAGAACTACTTGACACTGCTTCCTCGCTTGGGGGCGGAGGAGCACTAGCAGCTGTTTTACGCTGCAGCACAGTTTCTTCTCTATTATTTTTGTTCCTATTAGAAAAGACAGTGTGTATTTATGAAATCAGCAAGATATTAACAATGAATATTTAGAATTCCTAATCTTGGTTACAATCTTTCCAGGGAAATAAGTTTTAACCTCTGCTGCAACTTTTTGCTCATCTTTTAAAATCCGTGACTGATTTGTCTTCTTCAATCTCTTCTTATTCCAGAGCACTTAAAGAAAGCCCAAAGGATTCTGTCAGCTTTTCTCCACCAATTCTCTGACTCCTTACTTAAATCCCTCCCCACAACTGAATAAATAAAAAGGAATAAAAATAATTGAGACATAATATCTTTGGTTTTCATCTGGGAAAAAGTTTCACTTTCTGATTAATAACAATACCCACTCCAGTAGCTTCCTTAATCTTGGTTCCAAATCTTAATGGTAATGTCACTTTTTTCCTTTATTTTCCATAGCTCTCCTCTCAATTTAATTCTTTAATCAGCAACATTTCTTGATGCAGTATGTATTTCTCACTCAAGAAATTCTAGTGAATATAAAGAGGTGCCTTATTTATATGAAGACCCCAAGATAAAGCATCTCTATGTAAGCAGGCTAGCACTGGATTTAACTGTATGCACTCTGAAAGGTACACATTACTTTGCCCATCAGAAATCATATCAGACTTATGTGCCCTGCATCCTGTCCTACTGGCCACAGGAGAGTATTCAGTTGCAACTTCCTCTCGGACACTGTCACAGTCTTTCAGGGAAGGCAAGTAATGAATATACATTAACTAATGAATAGCCGGTTTATAGACAAATCCCTGGAAATAGGGAAGGAACATCTCTTCCTTGCTGCAGTGACTGTCCCACATATCACTGACAGACACTGTGTCTCATTCTAAAGGAAGACAGCAGCATGCTAAAGGCTGTGAAAAGAGCTCATAAATAGCTCAAATGCTATTTGGAGATGCAGGTCTAGTGCTCTCATCAGCATCACTTGAGCCCTAGTGGAGCACACCAGGACTGTTACAGAGGCTGCCTCTTGAAGTGAAACTCACATAGCAGTTTATGCCTGTACTGAATTAGCTACACTTTATATGCTCAAGGAACATGTATAAACAAGTAGGAGAGTCCTTCAAAGCTTCTGATCTGAGAGCATACCCCACCCACAAGGACATTATTGTATCAGAAAAAAATCTTAGAGCTGAAACAAATGCCTTGGGGAAAATAACACCACAGGCGAATTTGATTTCTGACTCAGCAGAACCTGACATTTCCTTGGACTGAAATGTACAGAAAGTTACGAAGACATAAGCATTCTTTTTAGGGAAAATAAAGGGATTTACCCCATTTTTCTAGATGAGGTGAAGGTCACAAGAAAAGCAGTCCTTTCTGAAAGCTGAGGAATGGAGCAAGTAGCCAAACACTGGTAAGAGTGTTACCCTCACACCCCTCCCAACACATACTCAGCCAAGATCTAAGCGTCCTTGGGACCTGATGCCTACAGACAAAAAGAGGTCACCAAATTTCCTTCAGAAATGTCTCAGATCAAAAGATGGTGACAAATGAGCAAGGCAAAGGTACCGCCTTGTGCAAGGCTAAATATGGGTGAGGTGCAAGAGAGAAGCCATGTTTTGCCCTACAACACAGTCAGTGAAGGGGAAACCTTATAAAGTGATACACAGGGAGTCCTGGAATGTGGCTTTGATGGAGCTGATTCTCTGTCCCACATCAACCCCTAAAAATCACAGCAAAGAGCTTGAATAAAAGTGCCTGAGAAAATTATATAATGGTCAACTATTTAATGGAGTACCTGGAGACAAATTAGTCCAAAATCTGACATTCTACCAAAGCGGAAGAGTAAAGATTATCCTCAAACTACTCATAAACTCAAATTCTTAGCAGAGATAAACTGTGTAACATTGAACAGTCTTCCTGTTTATTCCCAGGGAATCAGTAGCACAAAATGAGGTTCTACTGATGATAAGCACAGTCTACTCTCAACATTTATTGACAATGAGACCCTCAGGGCAAGAGCACATGAGAGTCAAATGTTCTAGCGTTTAACAAAACAGCAAGTTTTCAGAGGAACTTATAATGCTGTAACAGCACAGTAACTACTGACAAAAGGTTTCCTTAATATGAGCTACCGATGAGAGAATGAATTCAGGAAGATTCTGCACAGCCCCTGTGGGACACAGCAGTGGAGCAAATAGAGTAACAAAGCAGGTCCTGGATGCAAAAGCAGCTAAATGAAGCATTTGTTTGTCCCAGCAACTGTTGCTGGATTGTTTTATATATTTTTATCCATAAATATTTTAATAGCATATTTTATCAAAGACTATGCTGAAATTGGCATTTATTGTTGTTTCAGAATACGCACTATTTATGAAAAATTTATCATTTTTTTAAAGGCAACAAGAAAATATGCACCGCTGTCAACTACAATAGAGAACAGAGTTGCCACCACGATGAAGAGATGATCAAATTTTAATAACTTCTGTATATTATTGATAAAATCTTCTCATGGATTTCACTTTGAGGAATCAGAGAAAAAAGAAAATATTAAACAAGTCGAATTAAGAATTCCTAGCATCAAATAAAAATCTCAGATTAGATGTGATTTTCAAAGTGTACAATTCTGCAGTATAACACCAATGAATTTTTTATTTTCCATGTAACAGAATATTCTTCACAGACACACACATAAGAGTTTATATATTTTCATTACTATTAAACCAGAACAAAATGTCTGATTTCACACTTACCCTAACACAGATTTTCCAGTTTCATCAGGTTTACGAACAGTGAATGGACTTGGATCAATTCCCACATTCTTAGGCATAAAATCTCTGCCAAAATAGAAAGGAAAAAGTGTTTATGAACAAAGTGCAACACATAAAATGTTTAAATTTTCTGGAAGAACCACCTCTAACATCTACCTGGGAAATAAAGAGATATCAAATTCTAACTTTATAATTTCAAGTTGATGTACACATAACCTTGGTATTTAAAAAACTTTCAGTTGCATTATTTAGTTCCATAAAACATCTACAAGTATCACCACTTGCCAAAGATGATAAAACATCGTGCTCCATTCCTGTGCTGAAGAGGCCTAATAACTCAGTGCGTCATACACTGTTTTCAAAATGGTGCCAACACACAAATTGGGTCAAACAGCTACATGAAACATAATCTGCCTGGAAATCTTTAGTCAAATCATGATTCAGATTATGCTCCGAATAGCCAGCTGACTGCTGCCAACAAAAAAACCCCAAAAATATCCGACCAGCTGTGAGAACCAGATGAACTGAAAAAAACAACTGCAAAATGAGAGCAGAACAATGAGAAAACAGTTGTTTTGAAAGTAGCTTCTGTGATCTGAATCAACAGAGAAAAGTTCATCTCTCAGGCATCAAGTGCCCAGACACTAGGCACTCCATAACAAAAAATAACTGGAAATCTAATTGCTATTTTAAGAGATTTTTTTGGAGTAACATTTCCATGTAGCATTGTGATTTAGTTTCAAGAACTTTGCTAAATTTGAAATGACACATATTTAACCTAATAAATCAAATGCATATTTAATTCACACCAAATCACACTAAATCCATTCAAGGATTTAGAGTCACAAATCATCCCAGCATACCGTGTAGAATTGGTCATTGCCAAGCAGAAGGTCTCATCAAAACTGCTCAACTCATATGGCCTAAAAAACTCATTGTGGATATCAATTTCCTCTTCATATTTGTGGAATTTCTTCACTGTCAACTTGCGTCTGTTTTCAGTACATGTCACTGAGGGGGAAAAAAATAATCTTTTTACTAGCAATTACTGACTCTTGCAAAAAATCTAATCAAACAGTAGCCTGCTCACCTAGCCACCACACCAGGCAATTTTTTTCCTACAGTCATATCCCCTCTGAGACAAGGAAATATGACATGAAGAAGATTCATTGCACATCTTTAATAAATATGCATTATCAACCACTGTAATTTGATTTCACTTCATGATGACAACTCCTAATAAAACATGCTCCACAGCACCCCAGAGAAATAAGACACACCAGCTATACTGTGTCATCTGTGACAGGAATAGGACCACCAGCACAGACTATAAATATATGCTAATAGACAAGAAAAAAAAAATCAAGTGTGCCCTGGCTCACAAACATATGAAGGTCAAGTTTTAGCCACTTAGGCAGATCTTGCAACCACCTGCAACTGAAAAATCATATCTCCTTGGAGGGGCAGGGGGTGGAGAAGTATTCAAGAAGCCATTATGGAAACACTCTTTTTTTCAGACTTGGGATCTAAAACAACTAAAAAGCATTTGTGACTAAAACTTCTTTTTCAAGATACTCTGCAAGACAAGGAGCAAATATAGGTCCTACCTTCATCAAAAGGAAGAGGCAAATGCTTTAGCACACCTGAGGTCCACCAGTAAGTATAGCTGTACAGCAAAAACAGAAACACAATTGATACAGGAGATTGGATCTTGTACCCAGCCCATCCATACAGTGTCACTTCAGCAAACATTGCTGAATTGGAGGGAGGATTTCAACAGGCCCCTGTGCAACTATTTTGCTCTTAAATCAAGAAATTTAAATACATGAAACTCAATACAGGTATGGACAGAAGAGTGGTTTTGTTTCATTAAAAAAAAATACATTTCAGGTGCCTACCCCTACAGCACTGAAAATTAATGTACTGATGCCTTAGTACATATCAAAAGTATTTATGTATTTCTCTTGTTTTGGTCTTTGGAGAGTGGGAGGATTGGGGGGAAGGCATCCCCTCCCAGATGTTATACAGATCCCAAAATTTAGGAAAAATGTATGAAGAAGTGAAGGTCAATGATAATAAGATCTGATGACTGTCAAAGCAGCTGACTTCTACACAAATAAATAAATTTTGATGTAACAGCTGTCATAAGTCTGAGACCTGGTGGCATATCTAACAGCAAAATTCAAGCCCTGCTGATAGCTTATTCAGGATTTCTGTAAAACAACAAAGGAAGTCAAGCAACATGCATAAAACAAAGCATGTTTTAGCTTTCATTTATGTTTACACATTTTTATTGTCTCTTCTCAAATATACTTTAATTTCTTATCTGATTTATTCTGATAGTTTCTTCTATTTCATTACATGGAATGAAAACAAAATTGTCTTCATTGATTTTTATTTCAAATACTTGTGTATTCACAATACTGTGAGGGCTGTAATCAGTATTAATATGGTTATCTCCTACTCCTGTCAATGTAGCCATCTGCAGCAGACACAATGGGTGTATTCCCATGGCCAGGGATAGGCTTGTTAGTTGGATTTAGGAGATGGTACAGGCAGGAAAACACACTTCAATTCCAAGAACTGTGTATATGCTAGACAATAAGGAATGAATTATGCCTGATGGCTCTGCCTCTTCTCAAGGTACTATGCTAGTAAGCAATTTTCTCCACTATCTTCAGAAATGACGCACACATCCACTTTTGTTGCCTGCATAAATGATAAGTTACATGGCAACACAAAGTCTCCTTTTCCATATTCCTTTCACGTGAATCATTAATTATATAGAAGTAAGATATGAACCTTATTAAATATCTTCCTCCTGATGAGGAGGCAATTACAATATAGGAAAAGCACAGATAGTCAAAGAAGTTTCAATGACAGGAAACATCATCTTCCTTCTCCTATACCCTTGATTTCATTATGAGTGTCATTATTTGTTTTGCTGCTGTGCTCAAGGAACCTGAAAGAGGCACTACACAGACAGACAGGGAAAAGTTACACAAAGAACTTGTCCAAATGTTTGGTAGAAACAAAAAATCACTTAGAGGAGGCTTTTTTCACATATTTATTTCACCTAGTTATTACAGGAAGGTGTAATTTTATTCACATAATGAAACATCTTGATTGTATATTATAACTGCTCAGAAGAAATTCTGGTTAGAATGAAAGGTAAAAATAATTAACAAGCAAATGAAGAGTATCAATATTTCTTTTTAATATTCCACCTCATTTGAGAACAGTACGTGTGACAAATAAGAGATGGCCTGTTTTAACAGAGTAACAGATGAAAGCGAGACAAGAACATTTGCATATTTGCAATATATCAGCTGAATTAATTTTAGACATACAATAATGTTCAGAACAAGTAGTTGAGAAAATTAATCTTGCATGTTTAATGTATGCCTGAAATAGCACTTGGTTGTATGGCTCATACAAGCTACCTTTAAGAGAAGCCTCAGGAGACAATACAAGAGGAGTGAAATTCAGAAAGAGCCATATCATGTGCCAGCTGCTGCAACAGGTTAACACAACAAGCAGCCAACAGGGACTGATCACACTGGTTAAACACCTGCAGTTTTGCCCAGACAAAAACCTAAATGCAGATATTCAGATCTGTCATTTTTACTAAAGGGCTCTACAGCTCACAAAATTAATAAAGATAAAACCAACAAAAATCCTAAGAGATTGTTTAGTTGACAAGTTGAGTACTGTCTGTTTTGTTAAAATTGAATTTTTTTAAATGCACAGTATTCATAGTCTTCAAAAAAGAATTTCCCTCTGTGAAGCAATTGAATTACTCTAAAATTTTATACTTTATTTCTTCTGTATATTACCATGCAACTACAGTGGAATGCAAATGCAGAAAAATTGTCTTCAAAACAGGTTAGACATAGGCTGAAAGGAAGGTAGAAAGTCATGGGTTTCTTAGTATGCACAGCTGCAGACTAAATGCAGTATATAGAAAAAGAAATGTTATCCTTTTCATATAATCTTAAATTCAACCATTAATAAATCTGAAAATGAAGAACGCACCTATATATTGCTTAATGAAACTCTAGTAACTGTAGTTCAGTACAACACTGAAGCATTTTACACTGAAGGATAGAATTTCATATGAAATTAAACTTATTTTTAAGTACCACAGGAAAATAACATATTAAACAAATCCTTTGAAACACCAACATTCAGCATTTTTCGGTAATCTCTTGAAGGCGTTTTTTAAGCTTTTGTATAAACATAAAAAACAGTAAGCAAGTTTTTGACAGGCTGGCCTAATTATTTGGTTAGCAATGTGTATTTTTTACAGTGTATTAGAGCAATACCAAAAAAAACCAAAAAACAAAACAGCAAAATACCTTTGCCTGGTCTGTGAGAGACTGAGGGTGTTCTTGTGATGCAAATAAAAATCAGTGGGAAGTTCCCAGAGATGTGGCTTTCCTTCTGCAGGCTTGAACACTCCCAGAAAGAGATTGATAGAATCTTGCCTGTCTGCATCTGTTAGACAAGAGGCACAGTTAACACCAGGAGCACAACACAGCTCCAGCCCATTCAGACACTGCTTCTCTTTGCACATCAGGGACAGAGTGTCTGTGTTCTGTGACTGCTGCAGGCTTAAAGCAGCACCATAGAACTTCATTTACAGCAGAGCAGCACCATGGAACTTCATTTACAGCAGAGCTGCTACACTGCAGGACACGTGGGGCTGGTACCAACTCTGCCTCTACCCTCGGCTTCTCCCCCAGGCTTGGCAGGAGTCAGACCTCACACTGCAACTCTGTCCCTCACATGTGTGTGTGCAGCACATGCATGGATTAAGGCATGTTTCAGGAAATCTGACATACCTTAGTGAATTTACTGCAGCCTAAATAACTGAAAAATGACTTGATGAAATTAAACAATATCCATACAATACAAGTTTCCAACAAAACATACAAATGATGAATTCTTTAGGATTTTTTTTGCCAACACACAGTAAAATGATTAAATTTCACAAACATCTTTTAGTAATTTGGACTTATTTCCTGTTGGCTTAAATAATCAATTTAGCTTGTCATATTCTAAGCTCCACCAAATTATCACTTGATACGTGTCTTACCTTTTTCTCATCCATACAGCTTAATTAGTAGTAATTATCCTCAGAGCATTGAGTCAACAGATGAAAATACTTTCTTACAAGAATAGATTATTTTTAGATTAATGTATTTTGAATGATAGACAAGAAGCAATGAGTGGCTAAGAGACATATTTAGGAAGCAGTGATAGTAGGCCTCTTTCAACCCTGCTCTGAATCTTATATACTGTATGACCCCAAGGGAACCACTAAAATTTTAGGAGTCTATTTAATTCAGGCAAGTAAAATACACAAGCATTAAAAAAATGTTTTCTCAGATCAGAAACACAAGGAAATGCTGATTCATGAACTAGCTAGCCCTAAGATTTTTATATGCATTTTAAAGGATATATGATTGACAGCAACAATAATAAATGCAGTGTAGCAAAGCAGCATCTTGTTCTAAAACTGCTTCCTTTTTCTCTTCTTTCTTAGAAAACTTAAAGAATAAAATTATCTCTCTCAATGTGCCACATTAACAAGCTAGTTGTTGCCCTCTAAACAGGCAGTGTTGGACAGTGAACCTTTAAATTTAATTGAAACAAATATTTTAAAACTCCATACTAAAAATGCAACAAAGTAAATATGACATTGAATGTTACATTTCAACAATGTCATCTTCAAACACAAGGAAAACACACAGCACCAAAAATATTTGCCTCAAATGGGATCAAATACCAAAATCGTAAGTAAATTGGGGAAAGTGTGCAGTACCTTTAAGAAAATTTCATTCAAGGACAGTATTGACTTCAGTAAAGACTAATGTCTGTCTGTGTGTTTTCCTACAAGTTCATTGAGATGACAAGAGGGACTTTATTTATTTCTAAATTTTTTCTTCTTTTTGTAACATCTTTTTAGAACAAATTCTTTTATTACCAGAAGACATACATATCATGACAATACTTGCAAACAGACCACAACCCCAAATGTGAACCTTGAACTTTGCTCAGATTTCTACCTAGCCATTTCAGTGGCTGGCATAAACAGCTCAGAAATCTGTTCCATCTTCTATGTCACAGTACAGGTGACTGTAAGTGTGCTACATTTGGCTCAAAAGAATTGATGAAGCCAGACTTTATTGCCAATGCAAGCAATAACAGACCACATCACTGAAATAACAATTTCTCCATTTCCCATTTAGTTTGGACAAATATGATACACAAATTATGTGATCTACATTCAGAAAAGTTATTCTGAATGGTGCACTCTCAACAACACAACAGCAATAATTTCAGCCAAAGAAAATAGAGATTACTGAAGTATTTCTAGCCATTGTCCAACTCACTGTTTTAAAGTTCACAGTCTCTAAATAATTGCAGTCTGCTAAGACTAAGAAAAAAAGGTACTTCCACCCCTGGCTATGCAACTTGTGTGAGAAGGAGTAATAGCGGACTGACAGAATATTTATAACATGGTAGCACTCAGTGTTTGTACTTCTGACATGTCTTAGACCATCCTTTGATCATTCTTGTAGATCTTTTGCAAGACTTCTAAACACACCACAGTTGTGTTTTTATTTTTCGTAAGATAAGGCTCAGCATTTTTCAAAGAAGTTTTCCCCTTAGCAATGTTGCCCAGAAGTAGAACACTCAGTGTCCAACTAATAAGTGATATGAGCTAATAAAGGAATAAATTAATGTTTTACATCTTATTTAACTGAAAAAAACTAGCTTTTTTACTTGGTTTTTGAATTTAATTTTGCCTTTTCTACCACAGACCAAACAGTTTGCAGTTCCTATTTACAAAAAACAATTACACGCATTACAGCTGGCTTTGTTTTGAACTCTCAGAAACAACACAAGAAATACTCCACATGAAGCCTTCTACCCTTCTACTTCTAACTGGTTTAGATTTACCAGTTTCCTTATATTTGCTGGAGACATTCTGTCCAACATTTTAAAATTCTGTAACACCTACCTGCTTCTCTACTGATCTACAAATGTCACTGACAGATGCAGTGCTACATGTGTGCATTTTCTAAATAAATGGCTGCATGCGACAACAGGATAAGTAAATAAATCATCAAATCAGAATACCTATTTGACATGTTACTAAATTATTTGGAAATTATAGTACAGAGGAACTCTGTCATAAGGTCATAGTGTAGATTATTGAGACCTCATGAGTAAGATGCTTTGTAAACAATGGCTTGAAAGAAAGCACTTAAATTTACCTGAGAAAGCATTACTGTAGTATCTTGAGAGTGTTTGCATAATATCTTTGGAATGCTGAGTCCATGGAGCAATCTTTCTATAAGTTTTTACTCTGTGGACAAGCTGAGAGCCTCCATACTGCAGAGAAAGTGTGTCCCCATGATCTTCATATAATTCTTCAAATAATCTGAAGGAAAAGCAAAATGTGTTATCTGTGAAACTCCTGAATATAATTTTTTAAAGAAAAGATAGAATCTTTCTACAAGTGCAATACAATTTCTTTGCCTCTATTCAGATAAATATGTGAAAATTTTATTCAGACATAATAATTACTGGGAAGGTTTAGACTTTGAGATTTTCATTACTTTTTGATATAAAAGCAGAGGTTCCTGCAGAGCATGCAGTTTTGTAGATTCAGGAAGAAGATTAACATGTCCTCCTTCTTAATGGGGAGAAAATAAACTATATATCTTCACTAATCAAGGCATGTTTAATACATTAAAAGGGACAGAACACATCAATATCTCAAGGCTACATTTTCTGTTAAGAATGAAGTTAGCATAACCTTCCAAAAAACTCTGTTACAATAATGATGAAACAAAGGTACAAAATGAATAAACATGACTTATAAGGAAAGTGTAACAATTGCTAGGGCTGGAAAATCTTGATGTAAGCAGAAAGCAAAAAGAATTGGCTAAGATTTGACTTGAACAAGGAGAGCTGGTTAAAAAGTCCTCTGGCATCAAGAAGTTGACACTATCCAAACTGGGACCAGTCCAAATAGCAAAAATTAAACAAGCTTCCTATCAATGACAAAAACAAGACAAAAAGTGGCTATCTTAAGGAGATGGTGCTCAGTCTAAAAGATAAGAGACTGGAAGGTGCTTCTCAGAAATGGAGACTATGGCCTTGCTTGAGCAAGACAATGACAAGAATGACATTTATGCTATAAAAGACTGGCAGTCTAGTTAAGAGGCAAAAAAACCCCAAACCAGAACAAAACAAGCCCCATCACCTCCCCAGGTGAAATGAAATGAAAAAGGGAATGAAAAAGTAAACCCTGTCATTAAACCTGTTGGAATGTGTTTGACATCAGACAAAGTAACTCAGGTATCTACATGTAATACCTGCAGAACAAAGAAGTCCTTGAGGAGTGAGGAAGTTAGAAACAAACAATTTTTTTTTTTTTATTTAAAAAAAAGCACCAAAAACAAGACAACATGAGCATTCCCCTCATCAAGTTTCCAACAAAAGGGACAGTATTGCATATGTAACCTAGCAACCATCTGACTGAAGTTCTCCTGGAAAGGAGCTGGATGAAGAACACTTATCTGAGAAGCAAATCAATTTCTGTAAAAACGAAATAGCTGTCCAGCAAATCTTCTGTCCAAAGTCAAGTACAATAAGATCAATTAGGAGGAAACATCTGCTAAGTAACTTTAAAAAACAGAGGAAAAACCCCAAAAGGACAAAAAAAAAAACAACAAAACAACCAAAGAAATAACCCCAAACCCACTTGCCTCCACAGAAATTGTTCAAAGAACACAACACTATGTACGAGAATCTCATTTGTTTGTTTGGGTTGGGTGGATTGGTTTGTTTTTGTTTGACCAATAGCCCCAGGAGGCTGCACAGCAACTGGTATTGGCAGCAGGAATTATTTATTCCCAGAGGTAAACGTGCAGCTCCCAGCAGCTGGGACATGGTGGATCAGAGGCACTGCTAGCACACCCAGGAAGCCACCAGTGGGTGCTCTCCCTGGCCACCAGGCAGAGGCCAGGAGGCACCCACCTGCACAGTGAACCAACATGCTGCAGGTAAGGTGGTTTCTGCAGCACATACCAGCTCCAGGCAAGTGCTGGAAACTAATGGGAAAAAAGAGAAGGAGCTGAAGGTATATCTAAAGTGAAGGGGACTGAAGCCCAACTACTTGTGGTTCCTGTATACAAATCAGGTCTCCATGCTCTAAAACTATCAAACCACTAGTTAAAATCAGCAATGAAGCCATAAGTTTCACAGTAACAACAACAGCTCAAAGGAATAAAGCACAGCACCTTAAAGACTCCTACATTAATTTCTGAAGCATGTGTACAAGTTAAGCATCTTAGCTCACCCTGACCCCCTAAGCATTTCAATACAAATGCTGGGTTTTCATAAAGAGTTTAAGGATGCTTCTACAAGTATCATCGACATTTGATCTCAAAGAACAATTTTGCCAAAAAACTTTTCTTCAATAAATCAAAAACCATGAAATCTTCCCAAAGAAAAAGTAGGAAATAGCAAGGTAAGATGTACTTCTATACAATTATCAGTTTGGTATTCTCCATGAAAGTATGTATTTACTTCACTTTTCACTCTCAGTCAGCATTTTGCCTCAAGCAATTGAAACAAGTGTAAAAGACTGGGGCAGAGGTTTTCTGAAACTTATTTCAAAGGAAAACACATCTCTTTAAGTTTAGGCATATAAAAAGGATGAAGTCAAGGAGTTATATCATAAGACTGATTAATATTCTTTTCCAGAAGATCGAACTTTCAGCATGACAGGATTTTCTCAAGATTTCAAGTATCAAAGACATTTTAAACTTGGATGAATAAACATGAAATCATTCCAGCAGAAATAACTATACGCTTCTTCTACATGGACATAATTCTCCATAATCTCTTGACTCAAAATTAAAAATTAAAACCATGACACACTCTATTAATCTATCTTACCTTACAGCATCTGTATCAAATTGTAAATTTGGTTTATCAATCAATCCCAATGAATACAACTGGTAGGCCAAAGCACATTTCCCCACCATAAACTGGGCTGTGTTAGTGCGATCTAAACAGTCCACACAGTTGGTTCGGAGGACTCCAGTCTGGTAAAGCAATCCAAATAAGAGATTTATCTTAATCAACAAATTACTACACTCATGATTATTACTTTTTTACTAATATCTAATTCTTATCAAATCTCAAATTATGTCAAATTTTATCTGCTCTGCTGTTTATCTGCCCTCAAACATATCCCAGTGATCAGCCAGTACATGAATGGTCACATGTTCTCTAACTTTTAAGAAATACAAAATTATGAATGGCAAGTCAAAGTTACTAATGCTTCTTAAGAATATGCCCTGTGTTCAGAGAATGTAACCCTAACATTCAGGTATAAATTTGATGCTGTATGGTTTGCAGTTTAGTCAATACTTTTCTGACCTTACAGGAAGACATGTTTCTAGTTGTATTTTCTTTTAGTGCTGGAAACTGTAACAATGTACAGAATATTCAGCACTGGTGAAAATGTCAGTAACCCATACTCATGTGTATGAATATGTTAACAGGGTTAAGTATGTGCTTATTCCTCACTTCTTCTGTAGAACGTTTTATGACACAGTTTGCTAAAATGCTGCTGGTTTAACTTTCACAGCACTGGTAACATTACAGACTGAACAGTAATGGAAACCAGTTTAAAATACAAACATTTCTCAGACTAAGTCCAGCAAAGATGCAATTCCAACACCACAAGGTTTTGGGGTACCATGCAAGAACTTAAGGCCCTAATTCCCAATTAGATTTCTAGGAAGGACAGCCATAATAATGTGTACTATAAATATTAATTTAAGAGCAGTCTGTGAGTGACCAATCAGGCATTTAAGTGAAATGATTCATCATTCTTTGGGAACGCTGGCCTACATCACTATAACTATGAACTAAAAAAGTATATTTTAGTACCTGCAAGCGACCAGTGGAAACAACACAACCTCCCAGTTCATTCCACCTGAAAAAGAAACAAAACAGAATGACTTTCAAATTATTTCATAAAATAACAGATCGAATAATGTATTGATCTACTCAGTGACAAATAGTTACTTCTGGATTTTCAGCTATTAAAGAGACTTCATCTGCAGCAGTCTAAGCAAATACAGTTTCTATTTTTAAAAAAAAAGTTTTAAATTTTGTATTTATAAAACTATAAAATCCACTGGTTAACAACAAACTCAGTAGCATTTAGACGACAATTATCTTATTAGTATGCTTCAAAAGAAGACACTTAGTAATTCCCAAATTAATAAGTCTTAAAATAACAAATAATTTAATAAACATAGAAATTCCAAACAGCTTTCAAAGGAATAGGTGCTATTCATTATGCATCAAATAAATTATAGGTACTTTTCATCTGGACGCAAGATGCTGCAGTAGGAATCAGGTCGATTTACAAAAAATCCAGTCTTCTTCACTACACTCTCTGCAATCACATTCAGTCTGTCAAGGACATTGCAAAGTTTGCTGAGGAGAGGGGAAATAAAAAAAAGAGACAGTCAAGATACATTAATACTAAAAAAAAAATCTCACTACATAAAAAGTTTTTCCATAACAAAAATTATTTAAAAACAGGCCCATATTACAGCTTTATCAATTCAACAATAATTATGTCTATGGTTTTCTTAGATTTTACAGAAACAGAGTCTCTGTTTCTGTCAAAGAGTATCTCAGACTGTATCTGAGCAATTTTGCTTCTTTTTGATAAAAAATATTATATAAACTAGAAGCAGAAGACATAAAAAAACCCTAAAACTCCTTGATTTTTACATCACACAGATTTTTTCCTACCAAACTTTCTGTGATTCAAAAATATGAATGAGGCAGAAAAGGATGTATGATAATCCTGAATCACATTCCCTTGTTTTGTTTGCAAGTTGCTGTTTTGTTCAGTAACATTTGCTTCCACATGTGCATTGCAGCTACAAGCACTAGTACAGACAAGACTTCTACCTTTTAGTGTATTTGGCCATATCCCAGGGTATATATATAATTGCATGCTCTGGGGGTAAGAACTGGTTGAGGTATGTCACAGCAGCAACAAGTTCTTCACTGAGAATCCTTTCGTGCTTTCTTTTTTCACGTTCCTTTAGCAAAAAGAAAAGGAAATTTAACATCAAAATTTTCATTAACAAACATATATAACCCATTCACATGCACAGGTACATGTATGCATACGTAATGGAAATCAAAAGTGGAAGCTGTAACAACAGCAGGCAGTTCTTCATAAATAGTACAACTAAAATAAGAACAGAAAAGAAAAAAATTGGAATACTCTAGGTTTTTAACAATCATTTTGTATTAGTAGTAAAAGTCACCTGTTTCAACTGTGCATAATCATTGGCTGAAAAATGGTATGCTGTAAGCGTAAAGAAGAAAACACAGAAATAAAAGAGGTCATGTAGATGAAATGAAGAACCACAAAAGAGAAGCAAAAACACAGGCAGAAAGGGAAGCATGCCATTCAATTGTGGAATAAAGGAGGACAACAGGAAATTCTTCTCCATTACTGGCAGGAGATGGCAAACAACAGCTCCCATTTCCCAGTCTTGCAATACTTTTTGAAAATTAGAATTGCGTTGTCATTGCCTGAATATAACATTTGTTTTCACAGAACCACATAACGGTTCTTAAGGTCATCTAGTTCCAACTTCACTTTGAATGGAAGCATACTATTTCAGTAGTTTTTAGTGCTAAATTAAATTTAGTGGTAAATTTATTTGGACTTAGATTTAATGTGTAATAGCAAAAACCTGAATAGAGCAGTGAAAGATTAGTGCAAGAAATCTCTAAACATGGGAAATTTGGTTTTTGAAGGGCTGTAATGGAGGCAGAGTTATGTACCATATCCTGTAGGATTTATGAAGAAAATATTCCACTTGTAAGCTAATATTAGTTTTAGAATATAACCAAAATTACACAGCGACTCTACAGAAAGAAGCATAATATTAAAAATCAAACACATAGAACATATTCAAAATATTGTACCTTCACAAGATTCAATATAATAATGGGAGAGCCAAATCTCTGAAGCATTTGGTCAAAGTGAAGAGCAGCAACGTGTGCATAAGGATCTGCTTGGTCCACTGAAACAAACATAAATTGAAGAAGATAAGTGAGCTGTAGAATTTTCCCTTAATAGTACCCCTCACAAAAGATGCATTAATTCTCTGGTAGTGATGGCACAGTTAAATACTTTCCCCTTTTTTCATGCAAAAGCTGTTAAAAAATATTCCCTTTGCCAAATTGCAGGCAACTTCTTAAATTTTCATGAAATGCTTATACAGCACAATTATTCTGGCCCCATTAATCTCAGCCCAGACATCTTCCACCATTTTCAAAAGGTTTAATATTTTATCCACAATACTAAGATCAATGTAGCTAAATTCACACACAAAGTAACAAAAAGGAAACTCACATCTTAAACAGGGATCTTTCCTATTTAATTTCTGAATGTGAAGTCTAAGATGGAGATTTTTTCCTTAACTTTTAACTTTGAATTATGGTTTCACAAAGCACAAGTGAACAGACAATTTGTTCATTTTTGCAAATTCAGTTTTCACTTATTCTCTCAGATGTTCCTTTAGGACACAGCACTAACCATAATCTATCACAAAGAATAATTTGTACACACGTGTTATGGGTGGCTTAGGCATCATAGTTGAAATATCTTGAGACCAGTACAGAGGGACAGACCCTCGAACCTGAACATAGGAAGAATAACTCCCCGCAGAAAATGACATAACTGAAGCATCATAAAGTATTTGTTCAGTTTCCACTTCATTAGCAACATCTCCCTAAACCAAACAGAAATACACATATGATGTAGACATGACATTCAAAGCTGCATGCAGTACAGAGAATTGATCATTACAAACAGAGCACAATTAAACTGTGAGACACTGAACCACAGTATTGAGAACAACACCAAAGGTTAAATTCCCATTTGTCCCAAATGAATATTACTATTTTTTAATTTTTTCCCTCAGTTTGAGAAATAACATTATCTCTAAGTGTAAAAAATCCAAACAAGTGCCAAAAAAACAAGTGGCAAAAATCAAAACAATTCAGAACTACTAAATCTATTATTTTAGGAACAATTTTATTATGCCAACGAAAAATGTAATGATACCTGTGATAATATCATCTAATAGCAAAATTTATAGCCAAACCCTTAACAACCCTCCAAACCATTTCAGCTCTTCAGTCAGTCAAGTTCAAGCTTTCATACTGGGGAGGGGCAGGAGGAAACAACCCCTAAAATCATATTTGATTTACCTCACAGTTTGAGCCTCGTTTCAGAAAACGTGTTCCAGCAAATTTGCTTGATCTTCTGGCTATCAGAGTGACATATATAGGGCGGCCATATATTAACAATTCTTGAAAGAGAAGTTAAGGTTTACATGTCACATCCAATTTTTTGTTCACTTACTTTATGCACGCAAAAGTAAGGTCTAACAAAAGTGTATGAAGCCTATATATCTGATTTACTAAAATCACCTTAACAGTGGTGAGTATCACTTCCAGACTTACTTTGCAGCTGGAAGAGAACATTGCCGTTTCCAACAATCTGTTTTAAGAATTTGAAAAGCAAATCTACATTGCAATACTTCACCCACTTTTCAGAACCTACAGAAGAGAAGCAGCCTTTCTATTTTATGAAATTACAATGGAGATGAAATAGATACAAGATACACCTAGCACTGCAAATGTTGCCTTAGTGAATATTGGGATTAAAACTTCAGAGCTTCATTTTCAGGTGAAGTATATTAGTCATCCTCTAATTATTTGTTTGGAAAAATATACAAATTTGCAACCACTTAAGTAACAATAACTGAAAGCCAGCGGCAAACACACTATGGATGCAGTGGTGGTTTTTTTACAATCTTTTTCCATTTTAATAAAACCAAACAGAATTAGAGCCTAGTGTGACTACCATTGCTTCCTCAGCATTAGGGAGGCACAAGAAACAGTTAAGAAGATATTTGCTCACTCCTGCAGCTGCAGGCACAATGTTGGTGGTCAGATTCACCTTTCATTAATTAAATGAAATAGTGGTATACAAAAACAGATCTAGCTTTTTGTCTGGGGACTAAGCCAATGAGCAATAGTCTTACAATCATAAAAAAGCAAAATTAAGTTTTCCAGACACCACTAATGTTAACTTCATAATTATATTTGCTTCCCAAGAAATTTTAAGCTAACATGATAGTGTTGGTGAATAAAACAGTGTCTTTGTAATACACTAAATTCTTAACACATAACCTGACATTTCTTTGGACTGTGATACGCATTTGGACCTTTGCTCCTCCTGCTACAATGTACATACACCCTTTTAGCCATTTAAAATAGTATACAGTCAAGAAAAGAGACTTTCACACGTCCTAGTGCTCCTCACACAACAAGGCTGAAGTTCCATCATGTCTTCAACATACAGTAAATACAAGAATTTCTGCAAATCTCAGTATCTAGAAAATGTTTTAGAGAAGATTAGTAGGAGAGCATTTCTACGGCAATGTCATGGTTTAATCAGATCAGTCAGCAATTCAGTTCTCCTTAGTGTTTCTCCCTTTCCTCAAACATCTGCGAAAAAATACAGCTGAGCCTAAAAATCCACTCAAGTTCTTTACTACTAAACCCCACACTTATAAACAGAACCTCACTGAAAATGCAGTCTACTTGTCTTAGGGTCCTCTTACAATAACTATATTTCTTCCTTGGAAAGTCATCAAAATAAAAGCTAAATAATAAGTACAAAATTGAATGGTATTTATATGAGAAAGAAATAATTCAATGTTCAAACTGGGTTTTTTTTCAAAATTGATAAACCAAAATTCATTACAACAACAGAAGGATACTTGATTGCCCACAGAATCCATGAATAATGTACAGCAGCCAGTCACGATGAATAGAGTCTCTTACTGCTTCCAGAAGCTTGGCATTCCACACATACTTCTCATAAGGCTTACTGCAAATCCCAAATACACCTAGGAAGTTGTTACAGTGAAAATGTATTAGCAATTAAGAAACAAGCACACCTGCTTTAAAATCCAGGACATTGGATCTCTGTTCTGATTTTCCCTTCACTGCAACTCAGTGTAGCATTTACTTGCATCCTTGAAGTTTGCTGAACACAGATAATTCCAGGAACATGCTGAAGTCCAGCCTTTATGAGGATTCGCAATTTTTCTAGAGTTGTCAGTCACTGTTGTGACTGAGTGCCTTCATGCAGAAGTTACTGATATACTTCAGTATTGAAAAGAGATGTCTACAGAGTAGTATCAAGGGATTTGATAACAAGGGAAATAAATTTGTGAATTCCAGTTGAATTCCTTCATACAGGAAAACTTTATAAGCTTCTCAATTCTGTGCCACCTCTAATTACCTACTAGGTTCTGGAAGATCATGAACATCAATCCTTTTTCAGACAATTCAACACAGTTTTCCTAATTTGCACTAACACCAAGAAACACAGCTATTGTAGACCTACAAGTTAAAATTCTGTTTCTGACATATCTGGAATCAGAGTCTTCTTCTGTTTCAAATATCAGATCCAAGATGACAACTGTCACTGAAAGGTGGTAGGGGGAATTGAATGAATCTGAAACTTAGAAGAAAGAGGACAAGAATTCTATTGCCTATATTTTTTCACACTTTTTTCAAATTAAGTTTCTGACAGGATGAATTATATTGTAACAGTATGAATGCCAATTATAGCAGAGAACTATAGCAGTCAAGTGTTCCACTGGAGGAAAAGTCTTCTTACAGACTGCAGGTGAAAATGCAGCTGTTAAACAAACTATTGCTACCTAGACCCAACTTACTGTAAGCCCAGGGAAAACTGATGTAACAAAAATATTTTCATAAAGGAGTTTAGACAGTCAGCAGAAGCTGGTCACAAGCACTTAGCCAGCAATTTTTCCTCTTTCTTACTACTAGCAGCATTACTTTGGTGAGAATTAATTCTTAAATTACAAGTGGCTATTTGTTACACATATTCTATGATTATATAGGTAAGTAGCACACAGTGCTGATGGGGTCAAGGTTAGGGCATCTTCATTTCTGATTGTTTTTACAATGACATAGTCGAGATGGTGCCTTTGTAAGGATTCCTGAGGGATCCTCCAGATTAGTCTTTGCAGAAGACGAATTATTGCTCTCTTCATTCCTTTCTGATATTGTAGTATTTGATAACCAGCTGGTATCATGATATGTATGACCATGTTACTAATATCTTTTTCTTGGGGGCATGGGGGTTTCATTCAACAGAATAAAATTAAGAATTTCAGAAGACACTTTCTCTATGTGTGTGTGTGCACGAAGAAATAGGAAGAGAAAATAGTTTTTCTCTCTGGCTGCTCATCTTTGTACTCTTATGAATACATTAGATCCAAACTGAAGGCTGAAGTTTCCAACCAAAATGAATAATATTTCTTACATTTCTTGACAGGGATTACTACAGTAAGATGATGCTAACTTCATAAAGTTATTCTGTTGTCAGTATTCTCCAATATAAAACAAAAAAAATTATTATTGGTACTTAATCAGTTATTGATTCCCACTCTCCTTGTAACTCATTCCTGTTGGGAGACTCAAAAGTCAGTTGAGTAATCAATTGCTGAAAAATGTCAGCATGCTTAGTCATCTTCCCCAGTCACAATGTGTCTTAAAAGAATGACTACACACCTCTAGAAATCACATTGTTCACACTGAAACGTATTCAGCACTTCACAAAATCTTTTTTTAACTCACAACTGTTAGGACACCACTGAACAACAATAGAAGACATGAATGTTTCTCAAAAGTAAACCTAAGTGGAACATATTTTAAATGCACTCATGACCAAAACCATCAGTTTATTGAGACATGTTTTCTTACCACTTCCCCCCTGTGTTGAAAGTCCTTCATCTTCAAATATATCAAAACTCTCTTGTCGGGCCTGGGTTGTTTCAGTTTTTAGTGTCTCAAGTGGCATTCTCAGGACAGTAAGATTATACTGAAGGGAGTGAGACAGATCATAGCTGTAACTGATAGACAGTTAACATTTATTAATAATTGTAGATGCAGAGGAATTTTCTGAAAGCCCTTACTTTCCATCGGTACTTACATTTAACACAGTACTATTGCATAGAAAAGACTTCTGAACAACAAACACAGATTCTGATTCTATAATGGCAAATGATACAAATGATTTCCAAAAGAAGCTTTACAAACTGTTTACAGTTTACAAAGACTGAAAAAGTGTTTACAGTCTTCTTTTAACTGAAAACTAAACATATCTTTTGAACAAAGCTTATCAAGAAGCTTAATTCACCATGTCCCAAGAAGCATTCCAGCTATTTAAAAATAGCTTTTTAAAAAAGCTATTCCATCAGAAATTCTATATACATTGACAACCTCGTTTTTCTGAGATTTAAGTGCTGCTACTTTCTAACTGCTACCTGAACTCAAAACAGCCAAAAAACTGGTCCACAAAAACGGTATTTGTCCCCAGATTTATGATTGCAGCACAGATGCATATTAAGGCACTGGCTGCTGAATAAAGAAAAGGGGTTTTTTAATTAGTTCCATAATAGCTACAAATTTTCCACCTCATGTCTCTTTTACTAACACTCTATACTAATGGCTAATTTTTTAAGATACTAGGCTTCTTCCAAAGGAGAAACCAAAGGTACAGTACACTTAAAATCACAAATACTCCTATATTTCTATTTTAGTCTAAGACAGCATCAGTGATTACTGGTCCTCATGTAAGTTCTAGACAGTCATTAAAAATCTAAAGAATTATTTAAACATTAGACATTTAGATTTATCACTAATGATAACAAAGTATAACCCATGCATCCACATATTTCCATAATAATGTCCTGACCCATCTGTTAGGGGAAAAAAATTCTGTAACATGCTCTGTTTGCATATAACAGAACCTTTAAACAGTATCCCAGTAAGAGACATGTACAGGCTGTTTCTCCCACTCTCCCCTTAGACCATATGTTTTCTTATAATTGATTTCTAATTTTCTTCAGGATTTATATAAAAATCATGCAGAAAAATGTGTTATGCTTTCAGCCAAGAATGATTTAAATGAAGCTGATAGATTAAAAAGATTCTGAACAATAAGATAGAATACTAATATCATACTATGTTTCTCCTTTTGAAAGGGAAAATTAGGCTAAATATGCAGTTTAAACACAGAGCACAAAAACACTTTATAAAAAAATTATTTGAAAGAAAAATAAAACATAAACAGTAAATTATCTGTCAGTAGGACAGTTCATTTATGCCACCCAGGATTTGTGCCAAAAACATACTTTTTTATAAGTCATTCACTTACTCATTTTTTTCTGTACAAGAAATTTTATATATGTAGTTTATCTTAATTCTACAGTTTTAGCTTGGAGAAAATAAGTCTCTGGGAAGACCTCCCTATGGCCTTCCAGTACTTTAAGAGGGCTTTTAAAAAAGGAGGGAGAGCAACTTTTTACATGAGCAGATGGTGATTAGACAAGGAGGAATGGTTTTAAACTAAAACTGGAGAGATTTAGGAGGAAATGCTGTACTGTGAGTGCAGTAGGATGAGTGCAACTGGATGATCCATAGGTCCCTTCCAGCCCAAACCATTCTATGATTCATTTTATGATAAATGTATTTATTAGAGTCACATAAGAATATTCTCCTTTCCCACAGAAAATGTAAAATCACAGAAACAGTACAAATTTGTCATCTCCAAGCAAAGGAGGTAGCAGGGAGAAATTGTACAGAATTAGAGCTGGGAAACAATGCATGGAAGAAAAACTCACGTTTTACACTGCAAAAAAATCTAAGCATGAAACACACATAAAACTTGGGTAGGTTTTATCTTCACAGATCCAGCTGGGAAAGCCTTCATTTTCCAAGAGGAAGCATCTTCTAGACTGACACACCTTTTGGTAATTGCAAGAAAGACTTTTTTTTTTTTTTAAAGTCTTCAAATCTCCTAACTACTACTGCCAGGTTTATCACCACATTCCTCCCATTTTTGCCTCAAAAATATCACTTAATAGTATCTGGGACACAGAAACTTGTCTCAGGTACGGCATTCATGAAACAATAAACAAGAGAACTGCAGTGCCTAGAAATCCCTATGAAAGACATACCCCACACAGGGTGTATCTTAAATGAGGACCTATTTCTCTACTTTTGCCCCTGAGTCAAGGCAAAGCTTTATTTATGGAAAATGAGATCAATAAAGTATAAATAACAAGACAAGCAATCCTCCTGAAACATAATACTTTTCCAAAGAGGGAACTTCTGCATAATCTGGCAAGGTTGAACAGCCTGTAGAAACAGTAGTTACAGTGTCTACTTTTTTCCATGCCATTAATAGTTCTATATTTTTTAACCTAATACAGACTAAATTCCTGGCCAATTGATTAAAGGAGAAAGCAGGTTCAAAATACACAAATGAAAATGGACAAGCAGCATGATCATGTGTCTTATTTCTACAGAGTATCAGCCTAAAAGTCTTGGGTATCAAAAACAAAACCTACAATCCTCTAGCAAGTGTAAGTGCACATTTTTAAAAAAGGAATAGTAACTAATACCTACCTAAAATAGAAGTTGCTAGAGAGGTCCACGTTTTGAAAGATTCTCAGATACCTAGCAAAATAATTCAAGTGGTAGGAAAAATTATTATTTTAATGAGACAGACTATAAGATGTCATTCAGAGGAAAGAAATTACACATAAATATTGATTCTTGCCCCATGTTACCTTCCTATCTTACTGTAATTGTTTTGACAGGTAATTAAACTAGGATGTCAGCATTTGGATTAAATGAATCAAATACCCTTTTTTAAAAAAAAACCTGAAATTAACGTCTACTCATACACATACTCTGTTTCTTTAAGCAGTTGTAAAATTGTGGCTCTATTTTCCACTTACGCACATCAAAATTTTCAGGACTTAAAAAAGAAAACTCTCAAAAATACTACAAAAGAAATAAATTTTTCCATTACTCTCAAATAAATGAACAAAAAAGAAATATCTAATAAAATCTGTCATAGCCTTGAAAATTCCCAAAAGAAACCATTACATTGTCTATGAATAATACAATGGCAGACACCATAAATATGTAGGTTAGGTAACATGGTCTGCTGCACCCTAAGAGGAGAGACTGAGGTCTATGATCAATCCCACCTTAAAGTGGAAGCTTCTTTAATATTTACTACTGGCTTGGTTAATTACCTGACATCAATTTATCATAAATCATCACTTTTTGACTATTCACACTTAGTACAGACTGTTTACAATTTACTGATACCAGTTGCCTTCTATTTCATAGAAGCAAAGTCACCCTACCCTGATAAAAACATAAAGGCTCAAACTTTTCTCTTATTAAAAAAGTCTCTGAAAAGTAGCTGTTAAACTTACCAGTGAATCTTTTCATCACCCTTTACAACTGCAACATTCACAAGATTCTGACAGCACAGAATAATTTAATAATCTATTCAGCACCTCTTGAAGGGCACAAAAGAGCTCTTCGGGTGAGATTAACATCATGCAAAAGCTACTAAATAAAGAACAGTGCCCCAAATTGTACAAACCAATATTAGCATTACTTTGCCCTTGCAGGAACAATGCTTATATTAGACACTTCTTGGTGCAGATTTGCTAAACTTAGCTGTGACATAGAGATGTGGGAAATAAACTCTAGAAGTTGAAGAAAATAAACTCTAGACAGTTGTATTTACTCTCCAGGTTAGAGGCCACAGAACTTGTAGTCTATTTTCCAACCAATAAGATAAAATGGCTTGAATGACATACTAATACAAAAAACCCATGACTGAAGTTCCCAGTTGCAGTTCAACATCGTTTAGAAAATACTCAAAAAGTACACACTAATTACCAGCATTATTTACCTGGCCTCATCAGGATGACTGACTCTTACAGAGTCATTTGGAATGTAGATCATATTTGTATCTTCTATTTTATATATTGCATGACCTCCAATATCTGCCATTTTTCTTCTTTTTGTTATTAACACAATGTAATAGCCTTCTAAAAACCTGACAAAACCTGTTAAAACAGCATTACAATGCTTTTAGTTGCATATTTGTGTTTATTTGATAAAACATATTTAGCAAAACAGTATCAGAATTGTCTCAAGACTTCAAAGAATTTTTATTTGTTTTGAATGTTACATGTATATATATACATATATATATATATACACACACACACAAAGAGTCTTAAAATTCACTCCCATTAGTCAATTAAATACATAGTTTTTACTGATTTCCCCTCCCATTGTGGGTATTTTTAATACTAGGTAGCAGAGTTAGGACACTGAAAATTTGGACTATGTTTCTGTCTACTTAACATACTTGTATTTGCTTTTGATAGGACTTTCACATGCCTCAGAGTGAGGCATACTCTATTTACTTCAGATACTGAAGGTTAATTTTCCAGGGTAAGGAAGAATCCCAGATTCCAATTTTCTTTCCAGGTTCAGGTACTCTCTGCTGGGAAGGGACACAGAACAGCAAAAGGATTTGTGGGTAAAACAACACCTTTGTGCTCTCTCTCCTTAACTGAATTCCTGGAACTGAGTTCCTTGACTAGAGCAGCATCTCCCCCAAATCAGCCATTCAGAGTATGAGGGGTACTCCTTTTTTTCCTGTTTCCTCTCTCAGATATCAACACTTGACCCTGCTGAAACACAGAAGGCTAAGAAGGTAAAACAGACAGTGTCTGGTTTTATTGCCTATAAAAAAGATGGTTTCTGAAGCCTCCACTCTCATTCCCTGCAGGGCACAGCCATGCTTCTTCATGGAGTGCCCTCCTTTGGATACTTCTGTTATATATGATTGGGAAAAAGTGTAACAAACCTTTAAATACAACACAAATGTAGAAATTCAAATGAAAAATAAAAATACATAACCGCCCCTGAACTCAAATATGGTACTTATACAGTATAATACAGCAGTAATATGCTTTAATAAGTAATAAATTACATTAATTAGCTACTGGAGGTAGCTGCTCTGATAGGCTGCTGAGATTTTGAAACTCACTACTATAACAAATAAATAAACTGCAAACAAATAAATTAAATTGGGGAGGGAGGTGATGATGACATGATACAAATGGACCCTCACAACTCATAGTTTTACTTGTATTTATACTCTGTTCTTGTAGCTCTGCAGTACAAAGTAAAGAAGGATGAGGAGAGCATACATTTTCCTCCCTGTCACTGCTGGAGGCTGCAACGTGATCGAATTAACTGCAATCTTTTCTTCCACCTTATTAGCCCCCCTTGGAAAAGTGCTTTCACCTGCACAGACAGGAGGCCCTGCTGACAATAAGAAACAAACCTTCCATTTGAAGCAGGGTATTGAATTTCAGATGTTAAATAGCAGTCACAGTTCTTCCTGTATCCTCCAGATACTAAAATCACTTATGTGAACAGTCTCTATCCTTTGAATTTCAGCAAACATTATACCAAAGTCTGATAAGGAACTGAGCCTTTCTCCCTGGCCTGGTTCCCTCCCCTTAAAAGCAATTTCCACTTTTAAACACTACACAGTAAACCAGAACTCAGCCTATCAGCATCCCCATTCTGAGTGCACTGAATGTACTGCATCTGGTAATGAAATAACTAGAGGACAGAACAAAGCTGTTCTTTACAATTTTATAAAAAAATAGCCCCGTTCTCAGCCCTGACCTGAGCTAGGAAGCAGAAATAAACAACCAGTTGCATTCCTTCAAATTATATGTTTATACAGATATGGTCTGAATCATGTAATTTGGAAGTATATTATCTGACAGAGAGTCGGTTACTTCTAAAGAGTCATCTAGAAATACATATACCACATCTGTTAACCAATACATTGGTGCAGCTAAAGAACAGAAACTCTCCTGTTATGAACAGTATCTATAAACAGGCATACAACTGGGATGCAAAATTTTAACTGACTGCAACCACTTTTCAACCAAATATTTATCACATATTTAGACAGCAAGCACTGATGGCTTGTGCAAAAAAAAACAAACAACCCAGTGCTGCAAGGCTGTTAGAAGCTCCTTTAGGTTTACCCATATTATGAATACTCTTAAATCAGTAAGAAACATAAACACCATCTGAGGAATTTCTGAAAAGCTGGATGCACTGATGAATTCCGAAATGCTTCAAAGGCAAAAAGAATGAAGAATAAAGTTTGCTTAATTTTGATTGTTATGTAAAATTTAGAAGCATCCATCCTTTAAAGTAATTGCACTCTCCACTTACTCTGCAGCTTTGGCTTTAGATGTCCAGGTGTATATTGACTCTAATAAACCACAAAGTATTCTTGAGAACTGTCACAGCACATATTAACATTTACTTTAGAGACACCAGCAATCAATATACTGTCCTCAGTATCAGACAATAGGCAGGAAAATAGTGACTTTCAGATGAAGTTAGAAGTTACTAAATCCTTGAAGCAACGCTTGAGGATTATGGACAGCTGAGCAGCACTTTAAAATTCAGCTGACATACCAGTGAGTTGTACTTGCTCAAACATGAAAAAGAAATATTTAAATATGTCACTGCAAAAAGTTAACTTAACTGAAAAGTTATCTTTGTGAATAGTGTGTGATAAAGAAATATAGCCTAATAAAGAATATTGACTTTAATTTTCTTTTTAAAAAGCATTCTGTGAGCTCTGGAATTCAGGAGCCAGGTTCCATGTGATTTGTATTCTAAGATCAGCTGGGTTTGGTAAAATCTTCAACCAAGTTTCTAGAGCCTGGCTATTTCCTAGATCTGTCCCTTAGTGACAAAGAAAAGACTGATTACAGCACAACTTTCACTCCTGTACTGACCACCTGTTTTCAAAAAATACACAGAAACTTACTTATCTTCGAGCATTACAAATTTCTAAATCCTTTTTAGTTTCATAAATAAATAAAATCGGGGGAGACAGGAAGATATACAACATGACACAATAAGCCTCACCTCCCAGGAAAACAAAAGATTTGATAAAATCAATCAAAACACTTACCTACTATACCAAAAGCAGACACAGCTCGAGATAACCCAGAAGAGCCCTTCTGCCCCATCTTAGTTCTGTTCCCCAGGTCTAAACGACCGAGAAGTTCCCTCACCTCTTGCTGAGTATAAACATGCTTTAAAAGAAAAAGTCACAGAAGTTACTGTTTTGGTAGCTAAATGTTATTTCATGTCAGAGTATAAAAGAATTTGCTTAATCTGTGAAATATACAATAAACCAAAGGCCTGCTCTACATTCTTTCTTTCCCATTTCAGTGCTACCAAGAAGGAACCAGTATTATTTGAAACAACTGGGGAAAAAGCCCAGCAACTCAATACAGAGGCACTTACCTTATCATCAATTATAACCAAATCCTTTGGTTCAGTGCGGTCTATTTTCAAAACACGGTATTTGGTTTCTGCAGGATTACTTCCAACCAGAAAATACCGCTACACAAAAGAAAACCAACAAAACCTGTCAGAATATTATACAAGATATAGCAACCAAAACAGTGTAACTTAAGACGTCAGCAATGCCATTTACATTTTGCCTAGACTAGATCCACTACTATTAACATCAAATATGTAATGTTCTGTATGGACTGTTAATGAACTGTTTTAGACACATATCTTAGGAGGTATATTTGTATACAACCAACTTCTACAACTTACAAGACCTCTTTCTCTCCTTTTTACAAGGAGGAAAAAAAAAATTAAAATCAAAGGTTAAAACCTGTTTAGAGAAGATAAACTGTAACTTACACCAGGCACTGTCCAACCACACCTTGCCCCAGCCATTACTGTTTTCACTTGCCCTGTAAAATTTATCAGAAGCTTATGCAGGAGTTTTTCACTTTTCATGATCTAAAACTTCTGTTGCTATATTGTACTCCTTTGCTATTTCTGTCAATTAGTCTTTCCTGATCCACACTAAACACTGCAAAATTTTAAGTACTTCAGTACTGCAAGTTTTCTTCCATTTTTATTTATATTTGCTATGATATTCTTCTCAACAATGTTCTTCCACAAAACTAAAATTTTCTGGTTAACAATACTACTGCTTAAAAAACCATTAGCTTTAATTCACATTTAAACTATGAAAGAATAACCACAGATAAACATATAGTATGTTCATTTTTCATATAAAGAGATCAAACTATAAATTAATTTCTGCATTTAGAGGAATTAACAACAAGCACAGGTTGCAGGACTGACTTGCTAAAAGTAGCTCTCATTTTTTCTAATTCATTCAATCAGTGTGGTGCTATCACAGCAAGGTGGAACTCATTAATAATGCTCAACCTTGTAGGAAAGCATGGCAAGTTCACGTGGATCTATGCAGTCAGAGTCACATGGACTTAAGATGTGGGAAAATAAATCAATAATCATATTCATAGATATCTCACAATTTCATAATTTATACCAATTAGATATTAAGAAACGTCTTTACTCTCAAAATATTTAAGGTGAAAAAAGAACTTAAAGACCTCTTCAGCTTCCTTGAATTCACAAAGCATACAGATATTCAAGAAGCTCTAAACAGGAAAAGCCCCTTAACTTTAAAAGCCACAAAAGGAAACACCACCAACTTCTGGCTCCACCTTGTACACTGATATTACTGTGGTAACTGAGTGGTAGGTTTTGCTGTTTACTCCCAAATGACAGTAAGAAGGCCCCTCAAATTCATATGCCATCACAACACTCCCTCACCAAAGGCTTTGAGGCAGCACTTTGGCACAGGAAAGCTAAAAAGTTTCCTAGGGTTTTTTTTCCAGCAGTGATGTCCTGCAGCGCACAACCCAGGCTCCCCAGCCTGGCCTCCTCGGAGCAGCCTCTGCAGGGGATCCCTCAGTGCCAAGCTCTTGCTTCCCAGGAGGGAAATTACAGGGACAGTGCATAGCACCAAATGGTACAGCTCTTCTGCTGCTATCTCCCACCTTCAGCAAGAAACACCACACCACCAAGACTGACCATGGCTTTGACCATGCCATTATACCATCTTTTTCTTATGCAGCAAAGGTGAATAGGCAGAGGGAAATATATTCATTTGTAACACTCAGATGATAAGTTAATATGCATTTCAGGAGTGCAGCTTCTTTATTTGCAGAAATCTGTTATTTAATTAAAGGTAAACAATTTAAGTATTCCATAATGCTGCAGTACACCACAGTGATGTCCCACTATGTCCAGCTCACTAAATGAGTGCAATTTCTTCCCAAAGCGACACACCTATGGTTACCAACAAATAATACTGAATAAAAATAGAAGAGCAAAACTCTAAGGTGCTTGTCCTAATAGCAGTTTGGACCATAGAGCACATTTTAAATTGGAACACGCATGACACATGGGGAGGGGGAGAGAGAGAGAGATGGATATAGAGTTGTAAATGCTATTTCTAAGGAAGTTCAGCTGGATACTTCTCCACTTTAATCATTTTAATTAAACAAGAAAACATAAAGAAGTGCTATGAGGAATGCATCACTCACATCACCTTGGCAGCTGCAACAGAGGGCTGTGCACAGCTACAGGGCCAGCATTAGGTGCTGCTGCTTAGAACAGCAGCAGCAACATCAGATTAGATGAGGAGTAATTGTACCTGCAGACCATGGAAGCAACCCCCATAATGAATGGTACTTAACAGGCTCTCTGAAGTCATTTAAAGACTAATTTACAGGGTTTAAGCTGGAGAGCCAGACTGTGGAATGTATTAAGGAAAGTCACTTGAGAGCAGCATCAAAACTCAGCATCAATGGACTTAAAGTAAGGCAGGCAATAAGAAATCTCTATTTAGCAAATGGGCATGTTACCCACTGCATGTCAGAGGATATTCTTGTGGAAGTAATAAATTAAACATCTGCAAAACCATCTGAATTTGGGTTAGTGTTCAACACTAGGATCCCAAAATGAGACCTGTGCTTGGGAAGTTTTCAGGATGGGCTAACAACCCCACAATTACTTGAAAAACAGCCTGATATGCTCACTCATATTCAACCTTCAAGATCTGAAAGAAAAACAAAGATTGTATGAAAACTAATGATGCAAAAAAATACACAAAAAAGACACTTCAACATTAGCTGTTTCTGCTACCTAATTTATGCATCTAATGAATAAGTAAGTCTGTCTTACTGGATGACACAGTGCACGAATAAAACTGTATCAGTGACATGTGCCGCAATTATACTTCCCATCACATGAATACTAACAAATCATAAAGAAAAATACCAAATCAGCACAATACTGAGCATATAACAGCAAATAAATTTTTATGGTTGTAATATAATTGTAAAATTAATCAAAGCTAAAATGTGCTGTAGTGTTTACAACTCTTTTGATTACCACAAATTATTGCAATAAAAAAAGAGCAAAAGCTACGGAAAACTTTCTGGAGTGTTTATGCTTATTACTTCATTCTGTTTATTACCATGTTGAACTGAATAATTTCAAGCATTTCCCAAGTGTCTCAAAGAATTCCACTCCACAGCACAGCCAGTGCATTTAGACAAACAGGCAACCTTGACCAACAAAGTACTTTTTCCAGAGAACAGAACTGCAGCAGAAACTGCCGGCTCCCTCACCGTGCTCTGGCCAGAGCCCTCCAACCACACCTGAGGTGACCCATGCTGCTTCCAGGTTTACTGTGCCCCCGGTCTTTGCTGAAATTCGTTAACAAGTACACTTTACCAACTATGGCAACACACCAGGCAGCTACAAGAGCTGGACTGGAGCTTAATTTATTGCACAATTATCACTAAGCAACCACAAGATAGGAACAGCATTAGTCATTTCCACCTGGGACTGAGTTTTAACCAAAGCAATCCAACTGAAAGGCTTTACACCATCTTTTATCAATCTTTTGATTCAGCTAAAGCAAGCAAAACAGCTTCTTCTAAAAGGAGTTGAAAAAAATTAAAAATACTTACTGAAATTTGTTGGTTTTTAATGGCAGGATAATAGTTCTGAAATCAAACATTCTGCTTACTTTTTTTTTTCCTTTTTTTCTTTAAGATTACTTCTTAGAGCTCCGAGTCTATAACTATGATTTACTTCTTTGCATAGACTAATTATGATTAAGAAATGCTAGCACAGCAAAAAATGTTTTCAATCCTCAGCTAAAAAGCTACAAAGAGCTTAATTAGCAGGGAAAAAAAGTGCAAAAATACACTATAAGTTGAAAAATAGCCAGTGCACTAATACAGCCAATTTGCAAATCTTCAAATATCATTAAGAAAACACTAATGATCTTAGACAAAAAGCTTGCAAACAATACCTGTTGAGACCATGGATGTGTCTAGAAACACAAAGCCCAGAAGCAGGTTCACCATGGCCGTCATCCAGATCCCTACCCAGCTGCTCTCTCACTCCCGCTCCTCAAAAGGACAGGCACAAAAAATAAGATGGAAAAGGTGATGGGGTTAGGACAGAAAGACTGCCTAACACTTACCATTACAGGCAAAACAGACTTGACCTGGGGAGAACGTATGTAATTTACTGACAGTTAAAACAGAATCACGGTATAATTACACCTCATTGTAAAAACTCCACTCTGCTCTTTCTTTCTACAGGACCTAGAGTAATTCTGGAAGTGTCTTTCTTCTCTCGCAGAAAGTGGCAGAATGACGCGAAGAAAGGAAGACATGATAAGGCGCAAAGAGAGGTACCTGGAAAAGCAAAGCCGTCTGCTTCCTGTAATCTGTTGAAACTCTTCAAAAGAGGCTCCTTCAACAGCAGAAATTTTAAGAACATATGCTGCCAAGCACCACCCCATGGTCATGTAGGAATGAGTACCCATTCTGCATCTTACAAGCCACAGAATTCCCTTTCGTCCCAAGGCAACCAAAGCTTTTTGGTCCCAAACTTTTCCCTTGCTAGTCCATTGAAGGATTCCTCCAGATTCTCCCTTCTAATTCTAAACTAAATCTATTAATTATCTATCTACACATTTTTCTTTAGCCAAATACGTATTTGCTCTTTAGCATCTATTCTGCTAGAATGCTTTCAGAAAAATAAGTAACCAGATGCCTGTTCAGCAGTCACTTCAACAGACTAAAGTCTTGCTGTCCCTTTACTCCTCTCAAGACATTGCTAGCGTGTATGTTACCTCACCAGACCTTCAATGGAACTATTCCCAGGTGAATTCTTGTTTCCTAGATGAATATGGACTGTAAAACTACACAATATAACATCCAAGATTTTATTCTAGAGATACATTAGTATTTTTCATTAATGACCATACCACAAATAACCACGTCTCTTTTTCAGAGCTGTAATTCACCAGCAGCTCAACCCTCCCACTCCTTCAGATTAAACACGCAGATCCTTCTCCTCTGCTGCTTCTAAATTGATAAACTCTCAGTAAACTTTCATTGGTGTGTAATCCATTTTAAGGTGCATGAACTTTTATAGTACACCATTATACTTCAAATTATTTCTTTTATCTACTCCTGAGGATC